GTTGCGTTAAGAAGAACTTATCGCAAAAAAAGGACACGAAAAACAATCGCAGTCCAAGGATTCGTCAATTTAAATCATCGCTTTTGTGTCAATGCTTAGTGTCATTTTCAAGACAGGGAAGCTCGCGACATTTTGTTCAACTACGGATTCCGGCGAGAGGCTGAGGTCGTACACAGGCAAAGCCGCTCGGATTTCAAGCAATTTTTTTCTATCAGATGAGACAGTACGTATTGCGTTTAAAGTTAACCAAATATGTCAGTCACATAAAATATTAAAACATGCCTATCAATGCTTCGATAGAAAGAAAGAAAGAAACGCGGTGAAAAGCCGAGTTTGGAGTATTCATTTTTTTTATTCGAGGTCATCTTGTAGTACATGTATGTATGTTGCAAAAGCAACATTAATAACCTCCTAGTCAAGCCACATGCTATTTTGACCAATTCAACAACGACAATTTAGAGACAACATTGCGGTTTTTTCAAAGTACGGGCGGTTAAAGGCGTAATTAAACGAGACCACAACAAGACATTCTTAATAATCAGGACCATGTCACCACCGAGCCATTGTAACTTTGGGTTTGATGTCACTGATTGAAAACTTTCTTCCAGTACTCCATGCTTTTCTTCGTGTTTTCATTTTCACTCGTCTTTTAATTCTTCCATATATTCCTCGTCAATTATCTCGAAACGTGACGCCATTGTTACAGAGAATTTTTTCACATCTACTCGATAGCATAAGCTGTTGCTAGGCAACCTGAGGACCAATCGTGAGCAAGTAATTTTGCCCCCTTCACAAGCAAAATTAAGAAAAAAGTACCCTCTTCATTGATCAATCAGCATTCAGTAATTTTGCCTTCTATGTTATCATAGAACTAAACAATGGCTACAACGCCAGTCATTTAAATGAGAATGAAAAACAAGCGCTTATTATAGGAAAATGTTCATTGAAAAGTGGTCAAAAAGAAATGAAATTGTCCTGGAGGGGTTTAAACCTTTTAGCATGAATAGAAAAGCAGTTAGAGGGCCCATTTCATCGTGGAGACAAAACAACGTTCCAGGAATATCCTACTGGGTCAGTAAGAATATTTCCGTAGATTTTGAGTGGAGAGCTGCGCAATCTGAAAGATCCTCATCAATGCTAGTGTTGCTGAATTCGAGGAGGGTTTAAAAAGAGCTCTTTGTCCAACCAAATCGGTGGACGATGAATTTCGTCCTGAAATACAACAACGCCAACCACCACAACTGAACGAGTTTAAAATAGCACATAACTCTGGACGAGAAAAATTGAAACAGCTGAAAGTTAAAAAGTCCACTGGACCAGATAACATTGCACCCATACTTTTAAAGGCTGCAAAAAATGCTACTGTGCCATCTCTAGTTAATCTATGTGAATTTAGCATTGAACGTGGAACTGTGTATCCTATGTGGAAGACTGCGAGGCTTACACCAATTTTCGAAAAAGACGATGATACTCACTGTAGAAACCACCGACCGGTTTCTTTATTAAGTGTTCCTAGTAAAATGATGGAATCAGAACGCTGTTTCAACAGTCATTGTTGACCAGCTCACATTTCAATTGCTTTTGAGAACAAAATCTTTCTTTAAGATAACAATCTATTAAAATTTTGATCATGAAAGTGTGATGCTTGACAAATATTCGCTACTGTGCTAACACATCAATTCTCAGCTGCTAAGTAGGAGACCATCGTTAAGGTGATTTTAAGTTTTTGCTTTCAGTTTTTTTTTTAACTGAGAGGAGAATATACATGACAACCTGTTCAAATGTAAAGTTCTGTCTCGTCTCTTTATCTTGAAAAGTTTATATCGCTTTTAAGTTTAATTGTGGTTGAAATGAATTGACCATAGTTAAGTTTGGTTAATAATTTAGCAACCGGTAGAGTTGGGTGTACTTTCGCGTACTTTTAGCTTCAGTTCGTGTCGTTGGTGAACTCAATGAAGTTACCTGGCATTGGGTGAGCTTTAATCTAGCACTCTGTAGTTCAGATGGTAGTCCGGTCACAGTTTTTCACAGCTTGTATAATTGTGTGTTGTTTAGCGTAGTTTGGTGTCGTCTGGTGTTAGTTGATGTAGTTTAGTGTTGTTTGGCGTAGTTTGGTGTTGTTTAGTGTAGTTTGGTGTATTTTGGTTTAGTCATTGGTGTAGTCTGGTGAAGTTTGGTGTAAGTTGGTTTAGTTTGGTGTAGTTTGGTGTAAGTTGGTGTAAGCTGTGTAGTTTGGTGTAGTTTGATGAAGTCAGGTATGGTTTGATGAAGTTTAGTGTAGTTTCGTGAATTTTGGTGTAGGATGCTGCGCGTAGCTTAAGTTCTTCAGCATAGTTTGGTGTAGTTTAATATAGTATTTTTCAGTTAGTTTGTCTTAGCTATTTCTAGTTTGGAGTATTTTGGTTAATTATTGGTTAATTAGCATCGGCAGAATTGTTTTCAAGTTTGTAGTTCGTAAAGAAACTCTGCTCACCTGTAATGCGCATAGAAATAGCTCCCTGTAAACACGGTTGGTGACTTAACGTTCTCAAGGTGTTTGGCTGCGAATGATGATTCCTGAAGTATCAGTTTCTTTCATAAAGGTATTTAGGGCTGCTCGCAATGCATTTCTGTTCCTTTTCAGACAAAAAAATTGCGTCATTTCTCAAGCAGTCTTGCCCACGAACCGTAAAGGCCACAAAAGTTCATAAAATTTATACACGGAAAATCGGCAAACCGCAATGAACGCTAAAAGCAGAAAACCGAAGTTTTTTGACTGTTGCAGAATCGGCTCCACCGCGTTAGGAAAAACATCTGGTTCGACAATCAATAGGACTGTACCTTTCCGATTTCTTGTTTTTATTTACGATCCATACAATATCCGAACTTTCTACATTCAATTGTGATTGTCGGAATGAACGAACAATAATTTATTGACGTTACATGTTGGTAAGAGTCGGATGCGCATTAAATGGCAGTTTCAACTTCCACCTTTAAGCATCTTGCACAGAGTTTGACCTCGTGAAAAGCAGGTAAGCTGACGAAACAATGGTCCTATGGTTTGTTTTCGTCGGACCACCAAACGTCGCTTTCAAAGCAAAGCCTGGAAGTTTGGTGAGTTTTGATCATTAATTAGTGGTTTACCGATATCTTCCTTAACCCATTTGTCGCTATTTCATTACAGTCTTAAATCGTAATTATTGATAAAGCTGAATCAGTCGAAACAAGAAATCGGTTCGTCGCCATGATTCCTAGTTCACTCATGTTCAAAGCGTTCCTTCTTGGTGCTCTACGCTCTCTGGAAAGTGGGAGGCAAACTTGTGTGTGTTCAGGTTAGTGTCGATACACTTTCAGTCAAATATTTTCCACTGTCAGTTGTATGCGATCACCATCTTTCCCTTGAGAAAACTCTTAACATAGATTTATAAAAGCTAAGAAGACCCTTTAACAGGTCGATGTTATCAACAAAATTTCGGTTGCCTCTCCTCCAAATTTCATGATAAGGCGCAGAGGTCTGATTGTCTACGCTTACGACTGTCTAATTACACCTGGGAGAAAGTGCAAGTTACACTTAAAAGCGTGAACTAGCGAATGCCCCACCAATGTTGCAGTCGGAAATGAAACTGACGGCCGGATTACCCCGTAATTCACTTCACTTATCCACAAGCTTACAGGAAAACAGAATAGTGAAGCAATCCTTAAAATTTGTCTCCGGAAAGAACACGTAAGTTCCGACGACCACTGCAAATCATAAAGTACAATTGAGTCTCCTTTATTGTCCTTGATACTTAATTTAGGCCTTCATTTTAATCGTAATTTTACAGCTTGACGTGAGTTCTCGTGACAAAGAATTCAGAAAACGGTACTATTAAATACTTTGCTGAATTTAGAAAACAATCAAAGCGTAATTCTGTGTTCAGTGAATCGCAATTCACAGATTTATCTAATTCACCTTAGGTTAGCCCAATTTCTTACTTCAGGTTAGCGCATCAAAGCTTCCCTTAAGAATTTCCGTTTGTTACAAAATCAAGGCTTCTGCAATAGGCTTGCGCGTGCGCGGTCGACTGCGTTGAGAGCACATATTAGACTACGTTGTTTCTCTGCTGACTCTTAGACAGCTAACAAATAATATGTGAGCCCACCATATACTTTTTACACAGTTGATTTATAAAAAATGTATCTTCACGGCTCTAATTAGGACTAAGTATCGCTCTAATCAAATGTCAATCATACTTAAAATAAATCACTGGATTAACTGTCACTGCAACGGCAACGGCAACGGCAACGGCAACGCCTATTTTCTCAACAAAATAGAATAGCCTTGGACCTCATATTTGTTTAACGAATATCAAACAGTTTCATTTTCCAAGGTCTTAAACTTTGGAACTCTCTGCTTATTAATTTTTACTAGTTCTGGGTCTTCTGTCTTTTCGGAAAAAATGCTCACTTTTAGAAACAATTGAAACAGACACACTAAATCAAAGCCCAAAATCTTATCTTTTTTTTCTACTAGCACTGCCTCTAAATTTATTTTGTAGTGTTCGTAGAAAGTAATTAAGGTGCCGTTTTGTAAAGTACTCAAGTAATTATAAGTAGGCGAGTGTGCTTAATTAGTGAATTGCGAGTTTCGTATTGTAATTTATTGTAAGTCATGTTCTGTTTAGTAGTGTGATGTAAGTAACATTAAGCTGTAATATAAGTGACTGTTAGTAAGTGACTGTTAGTATAAGTAAGAAATAAGTACTAGTGTCTAATCCAATAAGCACAGTAATGTAATAAGAAGAGTGTAGTCGAGTAATGTAAGTTTAGTTCTGTTCAAATATTTCTTCAACTTCTTCTTCTTTAACTTTTTAAGCATTTTTGCTAAAGTTAGCAAACTACGTACATTGCGTAACTTGTTGCCGACGTCTCTGTCACAGTAGAAAGGGTAGTTTCCAAGCTTTGAAAATGAAGTTGGAAAAGACTCTTTTTTCGAAAACAACCTGAGATGCTTTGCCGTTATTTCCCCCCCCCTTTTTTTTTTTCTCTTTTACAAAGTTTACTTTTGAGTTCCTCTTTCATGTGGCTTTTTGTTTACAATCAGTTGATGCCAAAATCATTCTCAAGTCCTTTTAGGTCTGGCACTATTACGTACTCATTCGACTGAACTACGTACGTCGCTTGAAGTGATGTGATGTTGTGTCGGCCTTTCATCGTTGCGGACGAGCTCGCTCGGCCTATCTTCACCTGCCAATAACAGAGACCGGAAGCTATGATCAACATGACGACCACGCCCACTGAAACTGCGATTACAGCCGCCGGGTACCTTATTCTATCAGTCCAACCCATTGATGTCTTCGAATATGCTTCACTTTCAGAACTGATGGATGTCAGGCTAACAGTAGAACCTACACAAGAATGAACCAAACATATGTATCTCTCCATCTTGAATGAATTCCCTCCTTTCCCCCAGCACCACTTCAAAGATTTTTAAACCTTTTCCTTAAAATGCAAATCGAAAATAGGCCACAGAAACGACTTGCTAATGTCGAAATGATCTTCACAACTCGACCACAATTAAACTCATGGCATAAAAAGAAGTCTAAATACTTCAAGCTTCGACGAAGCCTCTCAAATAGGCCTCTCCTAATCATACTTGTAAAAACACTGGAAAGTTGCTAACTGGAATGCTTGGTTGCTTAAAAATTGCTGAAATTCCAAAAAGGTGCACCTAAATGTGTTGATATTTCTATATAAATGTCAATTTAAAGCCTTATTTTTCGCCCTCACAATAATTGCTTACAACAGCGGTCAAGAAACTTAGCTTTAAAGGGTTCCTCGCAAATATAGGCGAAATTTAAGAATACTCTTTAGTTAAACGGAACAAAAGTCATTTTAGCCGATTATCTGCTAAAATCTTAGATAAGGATTGCAATAGGCCTGCGAAATGTTATCACGTGACAAGTTATGTATTCAAAAGGTTAACAAGCAATTCATGAAATTCGTATAAATTGAAGTTTTCTATGAAATCGTTGACTTTTTCGTCCTTTATATGTGCTCTAAACTTATATTTTGCTCAAAAATTGCTGAGAAAGGCAAGAATTCCTCGAGGTTGCTTGAACCGCAAGAAGTTACTCCAAACGCCATTACCCACAGGTTATTACTAATTGAAGTCGTCGTAACAAAAAAAGTCGAAACCAGTCTGGTTTCGACTGGGATTGAGCTCTTCTTTGCCAATGCGACAAGGGAACTTTACCTTCAACAAATCCCTCAAAAATTCTTTGAGGTAGGCGTTGTGTGTTTTTACAGGAAATGAAACGTTTCGATAATTCTGTTTGATACCAAAGTCATTCCCTCAGGCCAGAATTAAGCTCCTGTTTAGTTAGAAAAAATACGAACAAGAAGGCTTCTTGATACATGTTATATCGCATTTCAGTGTTTCATTTGCTCGGCAAGATGGAAAGAATCATGAAAGGAAGAGATCCACAAATACAAAGGTGCATCCAACGAAAATATGGTCATCCTTATTTGCAGCAACCATCAGTCAAGATTTTCATGAGCTTTTCTTATATTTAGTGCGCACGTGATGCACTAAGTGGCGTGTGCATGCTTAACAATTGGCACACCTGGCGACCATTCATAATTTATAGCCTGGAGCTAGGGGTAGAGGATTTTAAGGGCGGATCACATGGTTTTCAGGGGGAACAGAGGCGCGGCATTCGTCGCCAAAGTATAAAGGGGGGGGGGGGGACTACAAAAAATTGACTGCTAATTAACTGCCAATGAGAGGGAATCAGGTGAATTTTATCGTGACGCAGACAAAATCCTCCAAGTCCCCCCTTTCCAGGAAGCCCCCCTCCCCAGGGTGGCCCCTACCCAGGACGACGAATTATAACCGGTCCTTTAGTAGCGATACGGATACCAGAAATGTGAAAGATCGTGCTTCTTTTTTATCTGAGATAGAGAAATTACAAATGTTATTTTAAAAAATGAATCATGTCCGTTTTTCACGGCTACACTTACCATCTGTGGTGCTTTCAGTTTTCTCAGCTTCAGTTGGTTTTGCTTTATCTTCACGAATTAAAAAAGTGAAAAAAAAATGAGTTATGCTCGGTTGAAAACAATTTTCAGCAAATGATCCGCTATCATAAAGCAGTCACTTTTTTAAGTTGGCCCGTGTGTTTGATTTATGAACATCCAAGTGAGTCACAACACAAACACTCTAACTGAGTGCTGTAAACCCAAATCAAAGTAATTGTAACGGCCTAAGCCGCTCAGTGGAGCTAGCTTGTTCGAGAAAACACAGGACGTAGTCATGCAAAAATCGACCCTTCGTGATTCCCGAGACGAAGGAGACTCTCAAGAAAAGAAAGCTGTTTACAAGGGCTTCATGGACAATGAATTGCACCTAACGGATTAACCCTTTACTCCTTATCATTAGTATCCACATTCTCCACACTAATCACTATACATTTCCTAGGGTGCTGACAAAGAGAATTTGTTTGATAATCAAGAGCTGCTTTAGTTGGTGATCATTTGCTCTATTCTCATCACCTTCATGTTTGATCCAAGGGTGATATTATAAGGAGAAATTAGATGCTAGTCACTCTTAGGGGTTAAAGGGGGTTAACAAATAAATTCCATGTTGCCGTGCATCTGTTCAGTAACATATCACAGATGACGTCAAAATGTGGTAAGAAAAACAACTGTTATGAGCACATCACAGAAAGCCCCTAATAATCTGAAAATAATAAAGTTAATTATAACTAAAATTATTAAGAATTAGTAATCTAATTATGGTTTTACCTACCCATTTTTTGGACAATGATGTAAGTATGTTCGACTGCGTAACCAACAGCATTTCCCACAATGCAGGTGTATTTTCCTTCGTCCCTCTTTGTGACATTAAACTAAGTCAACTTCACTCCGTGGAAATCAAACATTTTGCCGTCACTTGGAGGCAAAATTACATGTTGGTCTGTGTCTTCTTTATTCACGATTTCGTAGTGAGGAGTTTCAATTGAATCATCTGCCGAACTGTTGGCCGAACCGTTGGAACGCAGAGGAAACCACCTTAGCCACTGGAAATGAGGCATGGAATCGCTTGATGCTTTGCATGTTAAGCTGGCATTCTCCCCTCGATAAACTGTGACATTTTCCATGGGTAGAACAACTGGTTCAGCACGAGTTCGTTCTAAAAATTTGAAAGGAGAGTACTGTCAATACTGTCAATCTAACCCAAAAACATCCATTGTTTCGTTACTTGCAATGTTTATTTTAATTTGACTATTTTTAATGGGATTTACATAGATCACAAGAGTTTGAAGATTAGCCGGAAAAATTTGAAGGATTTTTCGTCTTACCATGAACGTTTAGTTTGTATGTATGATTAATCCACCCGTATGAGTTGCTCACATTACACATGTATGACCCAGCGTCAGAGGGAACCAAGCCCTTCAGAATCAACATGGTTGCCCATCGACTCCAATACAGTCTGTAGCCACTTTTCCTTTCCTTAAACAAGTTTCCGTCTTTGTACCATTTCACGGTAGGACGAGGGTTTCCTTCGACGCTGACTATGGTTTATAAATAGAGGCGTTTGGTGTTAACTTGTAAAACTCCCTCAAGTATACGACAGTTAGACGAAACGCGTCGGAGAATTAAAAAGTTTTACAACCACTGTTCGCAGGGTGCTGCTCACTAGTTTAGATTTTTAAAAAAATGTTTTTAAAAATAATTCTTCACATAGACATTAAAGCAGTAATATAATTTACAATAATTGCTCCGATTCCTGTGGTACCTCACTCCCAAAAAAAAAAAGAAAGAAGAAAAGGAAAGCAATTGTTAACCATGCTACGACATAACCAACATTTTGGTTGCTTTTCCGCAAATTTGTTAAATCGAGGTTTTCGATATGACGAACCCTCGATGTAACGAACCAATTTCCCCGGTCCTTTGGCATTTCGTTAAATCGAGGTTTCACTATAACACGTCACTCTGACCCATAACCCGTTTGCCCTTTAACTCCCACAAGCGACCAACATGTAACTTCTCCTAGTATAATATCCATACATCATCCAGCAAACAGGTAATGAGAAAAATCAAACTTATCACTTAGAAGTAACTAACACCAAATTCTCGTTCCTCCGGCATTTATAAGGAAATGCGTGTAGCAGCTAAAGGGGAGAATTAACAATCAGATCTTGGCCGTCTCAGCTCCCGAGTCAAAGCGTAGAAAAATTATGAAATTTACTGGATAACATATGCGATTGCCAAAATATAATTTTTTTTTAATCGGATTTACAAAATCTTAACTTGAAAGATTCATTTGATGGGCTTTGTAGATGAGCTTCAACACTTCATCGATGTTTTTTCAAGAGATTACAATTTCTTAAAAATTTTTTTTCATCATCAGTTTTCTTCTCAGAGGGTGTTAATGGAGTTATCCGACAGCCTTACAACGGCCAAAAATTTAGCCGTTAGCCGTAGATTGGCCAAAATTAGCCGTAACGTTACGTTAGCCGTAAAAGCCATCACCCCATTGAGACTGTCTTCCAGAGGAAGTTGCTTTTCTCTATTTCAAAGAACATTAATATCGGCTCCTGTATCAACTAAACTGCTTCTGTATTCATCTTTCACTAATTTCTTCCGGTTAGAAATGAAAGTACATCTGTCTTAACTCCTACTGTAATTTTATTGGGATCCAGTGTTGGACCTCAAAGAGAAAAACACAAGAAATTATCTAGATGGAAAATGCTTTTGTGATGCAGATTATCTGAGGCCACACACATCTGAATCTTTCTATTTAAGTCCTGACGGGTGAACTCCCAGCTGTCTCAGTTCAATATTTTAAGCAATGGTAAAGGAAACATTGCAACTTCGTCGGAAATAACTTTTTGTAATGGCAAGTATGAAATTACCATCTTTTCCCTCCTTATTTGCCTACCTCAGCAACTCCAACTCCTACTTAAACTGACGTCACCTCAGGATATCGCTATAAATTACGTGCGTACTTGTACTTTTAAAAAAACTCAAATGGTTGCAAATGTTTACTTACTTCTGACAAATAGGTGCATTGTAAAATGATTCTTGCCACAGTCATTTACTGCGACACAGGTGTAGAAGCCGGTGTCCTCTTTCTTAGCTCTTTTTATCTTTAGGTATCTGTAGAGTTTTAACCTCAGACGATGATGACTCGATGGACTGAGCGTCTGATTGTCTTTGAGCCAGTAATACCTTGGTTTTGAGGTCTGACCAGCGGTTCTGATCTGGCAAGTGAGTTTAACATCCTTTCCGCTGGTCACCTCGATGACTTTTATCTCGTTTACTTCCTTTTCACGAATGTTAGGAGCTGAAAAAGAAGCCAAAATTTTTGTGAGTTCCACCCGAAACACCAAAGATGCCCCTCCTGATCCATCACTATGATCCACATTACTCGAACACTCGCAATTGAAATATTAATGCTTGAAAGAGGTATCGGTAATCCTGTAAAAATTACATATTAAATTCAGTGTTCTTACTAACGACTCCCTCATCAGGCGAGCAAACGCGGAAACAAATACTGGGAACCGATGTATAAAGCTTTTTCCCTTGTAGAATCCCCTAAAACTACCCTGACGCAGAAAATGCAGCAACCCTGACATAACCTTATTATTGACTTCACGAGCTGGAACCAGCTCACTATCCAACTGAAATGATTTGATATAATAATAATACTAATAATAATAATAATAATAATGATAATACTACTACTACTAATAATAATACTACTAATAATAATAACTTTATTTAAGGGGGGGTAACACATGACAGTAATTCAACTGATGAACTGGTGGCTCTCGATCCTAAAAGTACCATAATTAGAGTTAAAATGTATGTAAAATGAACTCGAAGATTATAAAACAGGTCTATAAGAATGCAAGCTAAAAACTATATGAAATAAAATATGCCATATGGGTCGGGTCAAAATACAATATGCCGCTTGGGTCGCCTCGGTTTCGCGATTGAAACGAGGGCAGGCGAGATTTAATTTACTATCGCATTCGGACTAAAATGTTCTACTCCATCGTAGCTCGTTAGAAATGTCTGTGAAGGGCCTTTCTGAAAGAAGCAACTGTTGTCGCCTATTTTTCTAGGTTAGTAGGTAGCTGGTTCCACAGCCTTGTTGTAGATACGCTGAAGGTCCTCCCTCCCTCGGTTTCGCGATTGAAACGAGGGTAGGCGAAATTTAATTTACTATAACGACCAGTTCGTGAATGTAGGTCTGCATTAAATTTAAGTATATCGTACATATATGCAGGACAGCTTCCTAATAAACGCTTTAAAACTAAAACGCTCTTATTTAACTTGACTTTGTCATAAAAAGGAAGCCACTCCAATTTCTTAAAGAGTTTCACGCTGTTCGACCTTGTATAAGCTTCCGAGATAACTCGGGCAGCGCGTTTTTGAAGCTTGAAGACTCTCATTATGTTATCACTTGAACATAGCATAATATGCGCTGTTCAGAGGAATCTCCTTATCTTCCTAAGCAGTACTATTCTTTGGGATAGTTTCTTACACAGTTCTTCAACCTGAATATTAAAGCTTAAGTGTCGGTCAATGGCAAGTTCTGGGAGTTTTTGACTATCCACCTGCTCTATATTTGAGTTCCCAAGATGAAGATTTAAAGAACTATCGACGATCTTATTTGTAAGGCGTTTCCCGGCCAATAAGAGACATTTAGTCCTGGCGGCGTTTGTGACCATCTTGTTGGCAGCCGACCACTGCGAAGGTCATCTAGGTCTTGTTGAAGGGCTGATGTGATGCCAAGAAGTCCATCTGTCACGTCAGATGAGAAACTGAGATTAGTGTCATCCACATAGATGTCAACGGTGGAACGCTGAGCTGCTAAGGGTAGGTCGTTGATGAACAGGAGAAACATAATGGGGCCCAGTATACTCCCTTGTGGTACTCCAGCCGTCACAGTTCTTGGGAAGGAGCGACTTCCGTCAATGACTACGTATTGTTTGCGTTCACTCAGATAGTTGCGTAGTAAGTCTAGTTCGTGACCACATATCCCAGACATTCAGTTTCGTTAGAAGTAGATCGTGGTCTATGAGGTCAAATGCTCTCTTGTAGTCAACATATACGAGTCCCGTTGCTCTGTTTTTGTCTAAGTCAAGGAACAGCTGGTCGATTAGTCGAATGAGGGCGGTCTCAGTGGAGTGGAATCTATGGAATCCAGACTGGAGGTGATGGAGTAACGCATTTTCCTCAAGCAAGTCGTACAAGTGATCACAAATATGCTTCTCAAATAGCTTTGAAAGTATTTGATTGATTTACGCATCATTAGAATATAAATCACTAAAAACCGTATCTCAACGCTAAGGTGAATGCATGCATACGGCACTTTATGACAAGCTCGCACGCTAATGGCACGACACGCTTACCGTGCAGATATACGCATTAAAAAAAATTGATTTTGGAAAGCTTGTCCGTAGCCATTGTTCGTGTCTGGCTAACACGGTAGAACTTTGTTTCTATAACACGCTAGAATTTTTTTTTTTTAATACGCTAAGTTCCTTTGTTTCCTTAACACGCTAGCTTATGTTGTACAACCCAGCTCACTAGGTTACTTGTGTTTGTCAGCTTCTAGATTGTGAGAATGGCGTTTATAAAGTATATTACTAACAGAATATAAGCTTGAACACATGAATTACTTTTTTAAATTTGAATTCTTACCTCGTAAAATGTAAATCGTTATCGCTTCACGCAGTTAATAAGCCCAGTACCGAATGATTGTGAATCCTTTAGCAACAGATTTCCGGCTCCATGTACAAATCGAAAGCAAATTTTACTTGAAGAGGCGTGTTATAAAACTGCCAAGGTCATTGTTGTGTTGTATTGTGCAAAGTTGCAAGCAAGATCCTAACACTTTCCTTTGCTTCTACTGTACGAAGCAAGACAATGGCTGCGAGGTTAATGAGGCAAGTAACTAACACGCATCTAACTCCCTTTTAACTATAAGGCACAATGTTTGACGAAAACGGAGGGAGTCTTGAATGAAAACAAATGCAGAATGCAGTCAATATCCGCTTGAATAAGAAGAGTTAAAGTCACCCAGCGTGGTGCGTCTTCGGATTTTTACTTTAAATAAAATGCGACAAAGAAGGAACCTGGACCATTATCTACTCTTTACTCTGGCCGTTAACCGGCCAGAATCAGAAATTCGATTTGGTTTTTCCTCCGCAGAATAGGTTTTATGCACGACTTTCATAATGGCCGCGACGCGCGAGACTGGTAACTACTTAAACATGAAACCGAGGTCAGAAAGGCCACGCTTGAGGACAGCACTGTAAACAAAAGGCTAATTAAGATTGAGTAGGTGATCTGTTTTGAATCGATTCGGTCGAATTATTTACAAGAAGTGGAAATGGCGACTCATTGTTGTGTTCCAGAATGTACAAAAGTGTCTTATTTTTAATTTCCGACCGAGAACCCGTTGAAAAGAAATGCCTCCACGCGATAAGAAGAGACGAAGGAAAACACTTCAATGTCTCGCGGTCAAAAATGAATTGAGAGATGGAGTTGTCCCTTCTGTGTTTTCATGGATTCGAACATCGCCACGCAAAGGAAAGGACCCGGTGTAAAGAAACTTCGAACTGACAGCTTCGAAAAGTGCATCACGAAATTGTCTGCCCCAGCTGTTGTTCTTGAAGAATTATCAAATGAATCGTCAAACGAATTATCAAACGAAATGGTCCCAGATCTACCAGATTGTAGCTTAAAAGTCGAAGACGAAACACAAACTGGTTTTACCGACCAGGAGGCCTACTTGAGAGAAATTATTGACAACAATAACAAGAAGATTCATAAACTCGAACAGGAAATTGAGGAACTTAAGCGCCAACTGCAAGATACCCAGCGGCAACATGATGCTGTTACTAAAAGATTGTTTAACTTTGAAAACTTTAAGTCAAAAGATTCCAATGCTGCTTTTTATACTGGCTTTCAAAGCTAGGACACTTAAATGGCTGTTTTTGAATATCTTTATCATTTCCTACTGGCGGTCAAAAACTGACAACAACATTGAGTCTGATTACAGTGAGGGCAGACTACTAACAAAAAAGGGGAGAGCTAGATCTTTAAGGCCCCTTGATGAATTTTTTATAGTCATGTGTAGACTAAGGCAAGGATTCCCAGAAGACCATCTAGCTCAATTATTTAATGAATCAGCATCTGCAATAAGTAGAATATTTATCACATGGGTCAATTTTATGTTCTTTAAGTTTGGACAAATAAACATTTGGCCCAGCAGAAAAGTAATCAATAAAATGCTCAAATCTTTTAAGGGAAGGTACAAATCTACTAGAGTCATAATTGACTTTACTGAGGTTAGATGTCAAATGCCAAGCAGCTTGCAGTTAAATTGAGAACTTTTCAGTGCTTACAAAAATCACATAACTTTGAAAGGTTTGGTTGGTATTTCTCCCAGTGGAGCAGTGACATTCAGAAGTCAACTGTATACAGCTTCTATTTCCAATCGGGAAATTGTCAGATGGAGTGGATTCTTAAATCTATCATTTGATGAGAAAGACTCCATTATGGCAGATTAGGGATTGATAGTTTAGGATTTGTTGGCTTTGGGAGTCAGTTTAAATTTGCCACCCTTTCTTGGAGCATCTTCTCAGATGGCTGTAGAAGATGTGGTAAAAACACAGGAAATTGCAAGTTTACAGATACATGTTGAATCTACCTTTAACAAGATTAAGAATTTTCACATCTGGGACAGAGTTGTTCCACTACATCAAATGAGAATTGTAAACCAGATGTGGCCAGCATGTGCATACTGTTGTAATGCACAACCTAACATAATATCAATGTGAATGTCACATTCATGTGAAGCATGAATGAATTACTTAACCCATAAATTGCCCACAAATCTCTTCTCTCCCTTGATTGTAAGGGGTTACAAATTGGGCATTAAGATAAAGACAACATTTTCCCCTCTGTTCTGACTATTTATCGGAAGGTTTACAGCAAAATTGAGTGACTTTGTTTCTGTCTGTAAAGACCATGTTGTCTATGTTATGTTTAAATTATCTTTGGTGCAAAATGTTTGAACCAGTTTGGTTTTAATTTTCCTTTGTAGTCTAGCATACTTTGAAACAAAGAAGATTAAAAATCAAACAGGTTGGAAAAATTTCAACCCACAACAAATTACAACTACAAAACAGTAAGAATTTATTCATGTAAGGTATTAATTCCCAGTCAACAAGTAAATTCACGACAATTAAGAATATTTGAATGTAGAAGCATGGTATTACCAATTGTGTTGAAAAAAACAGAGCTGTCATAACAAAATAGCTCTAGCAGGTAAAACTGCAGATTACAGGGTCAACTAGATGTAGCTGTTCACAAGACTTCACAATCACTGTTGTTATTTTCCAGACATTTTCAATTGAAAAGCTTTGCATAAGCAAACTTAATAAAATGTTCAAAGTAATAAGAAAGCAGTTTCTGCACTTGTTCAGTTCAGAAAGAATAGGGTCGTATGTAGCCATGCACTCATGTCCGCGCATCTCCACAACATTTAAGCAAAAATTTAATCTCTGAGATTTTTAACTCCTCAGGTTTTCTTTCAAGAAGAGAAGCGCCGGGTACATCGTTTTCCGTAGGAAGTGTCGGATTTGATATATTCTAAGTACTCGCCATAACAAACGAAGAGGGACGCGACGCGATAGTTTGGCCTCTCTGACCTCGCTTTCATGCAACTCGATCCAGGGCTCTCGCGATGTCCGCCATTATGAAAGTCGTCTATGAGTTTTTGCATCGAGTGTATTCAAGCTTAAAATGCTGGGACTCGCATAAACGATAACCAAGCTTGTAACAGTTTACACTTATCTTTCGAGCAAAATTCAAAATATTTATTTAAAGCACAAACCTAATACTGTGAATCGCCTCTAAAACAACAACCGTGGGACAGCTAAAGTTTATTGGCTGATTGATTTAATTCGATAGATCAATTCAATTATCTTAAGTAAATATTGGCAATGGGATCGTTCAGTAGATTACTTTAGCGGACCAAAAAAACCATACTTATCCGACAAAAATTTGTAAAAGTCACTGCCAGATATGTTTAATTTCAATCCGTCGAAAAACTTGTGGTCCATGAAATGCCTTCTATGGTATATCGTCCCGCGGCAGAAAACTCTAGAGATTTGTAACCAGATGTCAGCGGGAGAAAACCTCTTAAACAAAGATCATCGCTTTCAAATGCAAATATTTATTGAGCAACTGTGAGGCGAAACTTTAAACAGGAATGGAAAATAGTGGAAGTTGGCTCGTGCAGGCAAGGAAAGATTTGAATCGCAGCGTTAAAATTTGATGAGCTTTGCAACCGGAAATTTGATAAACGCAGGATTCTATTTACCAGTATTATTTATAATACTGGTTTTATAGAACGCCCGAGATATGCGTTTTTTTTATTCTGTGGAGTTGGATGGTTACCATCATTCAGGATTTCTCCGTGACTCAAGCTAATTCACAAAGCGACTTACTACTTTTCTGTTGACTTTGCCGCGGTACCTACGTTATTCCCCGCATTTCATCTGGCGATTTTAGTATTTCCAATTTGTCATGGCATCAACTTATTTAATCTCTATGACTCTCAATGTTAAGTTAACAATGTAAAGCACCCAACAGCGATTTTGCTAAAAACTGCAACGCCTTTAATTCGTTCCCTCTGAACCGCAAATCCGGCTATAATAAAGGCTCTGAGTAGCGTCTTGTTTTTGATATCATGGGTATGATAAAATGATATGATGGCCTTGCTGCCAGGCAAGTAAAGAGAATTCTTTTTAAACAGCTACCTGAGAAGCCATCATAGACTTTGGATTTAAGATCATCATTTAACGTCCCACAATCCACAATCAGTCTAACTATCTTGATTTTGTTTCACCTGCTAGTTGGTATATACACATGGTCATGTTCAATTCAATGACTAAACTATAGTTGCTTTAATATTTAGTGATAACGAGAGATTTTAATATGTTTTTCCGAATAAGGCTAGGCTCATACAAAGAAAAGCTTCCCACATGATAGACAACAATAGGCGGCGGAAGTCCTAAAAGAAGCAGAGAAAATGAAAACAAATGCAGAATGCAGTCAATTTCCGCTTGAATAGGAAGAGTTAAAGTCACCCAGCGTGGTGCGTCTTCGGATTTTTACTTTAAATAAAATGCGACAAAGAAGGAACCTGGACCATTATCTACTCTTTACTCTGGCCGTTAACCGGCCATAATCAGAAATTCGATTTGGTTTTTCCTCCGCAGAATAGATCTTATGAGTTTTTGCATCGAGTGTATTCAAGCTTAAAATGCTGGGACGCGCATAAACGATAACCAAGCTTGTAACAGGTTACACTTATCTTTCGAGCAAAATTCAAAATATTTATTTAAAGCACAAACCTAATACTGTGAATCGCCTCTAAAACAACAACCGTGGGACAGCTAAAGTTTATTGGCTGATTGATTTAATTCGATAGATCAATTCAATTATCTTAAGTAAATATTGGCAATGGGATCGTTCAGTAGTTTACTTTAGCGGACCAAAAAAACCATACTTATCCGACAAAAACTTGTCATGGCATCAACTTAATTAATCTCTATGACTCTCAATGTTAAGTTAACAATGTAAAGCACCCAACAGCGATTTTGCTAAAAACTGCAACGCCTTTAATTCGTTCCCTCTGAACCGCAAATCCGGCTATAATAAAGGCTCTGAGTAGCGTCTTGTTTTTGATATCATGGGTATGATAAAATGATATGATGGCCTTGCTGCCAGGCATGTAAGGAGAATTCTTTTTAAACAGCTACCTGAGAAGCCATCATAGACTTTGGATTTAAGATCATCATTTAACGTCCCACAATCCACAATCAGTCTAACTATCTTGATTTTGTTTCACCTGCTAGTTGGTATATACACATGGTCATGTTCAATTCAATGACTAAACTATAGTTACTTTAATATTTAGTGATAACGAGAGATTTTAAAATGTTTTTCCCGAATAAGGCTAGGGATACACTAAGAACAACAATACCCTTATTATTGACAGCGGATAAGAAGGAACGTGGATTCACACCAACCTGAACACGCATCCGCTTGCCAATTATCCAGAAAGCCAAGGAAAGCAACGAGAATCGCTTTGAACAAGAGCGCACTGAGTATCATGACGATGAAAATACTCCTACTTTGGTTGATTCCTCGAACAGCTTCAGTTGTTATCCCGCTTTGAGAGCATTTATGAAAATGAGATAATAATACAATGAACTTTAATATATGAAAAAGAGATAATTGACTGTCAAATAGTTTAGATAACCACAAGCAGCCCAAGCTCCAGCTGTGAGATGATCATCTTGCCCAATAACAGTCATAGCGGAATATTATAAAAGCTTGTATGAGAATATTTACGACCGCTCTAAGGAATAAAACAATACGTCAAATTCTCAATAAAAATACCTCACCTTACTTTCACAGCGTATCACTTGTTACCTGACCGTTTACTTTGATGAAAATAAGCCATTTTGGCGAGTCGTTCATTTCGAGGTTTTCAACGTACATAAGAAAAGGCTTTTCTTGTGCACACTACCGTTCATGGCTATGACATAACTTCAGTTTGATAATGAGATGGGTTCGCCAGAGTCACGAGAAAAAATGACAGGCTTTTTTTTCATACAAAGAAAAGCTTCCCACATGATAGACAACAATAGGCGGCGGAAGTCCTAAAAAAACCAAGACGCACATCTACACGTACTCAGGCTCTTGTAATGGTAAAATCTAGAGGAAGTCTAAATACGATTTTCACACCTATTGCACAAGTTTTACGTGCAAGTAAAAGGCACGTGAAAATCATTTGAAAAGCATGCAAAAATGTTATCAGTGATATGGTTTTCAATAAGTCCTTGAAGCTTAAATGTAAAGCATCTTGTAAGCAAGCATGCACACCAGAGCTTTTACAGTGATTTGCGACTGGAAAGACCTTGAAATTTAAAACTCGTGCCTCAAAAGGCGCGCCCAATGAATCATCTAAATATCAACAGGATTAGTATTTGCGTTGTTGGGGTTTCTCGTTCAATGGACACCTGCATAATAATCCCTGATCTTTTCGGCCTTATCAATACTTACTAATCAAGCTTATCTTAGAATAAAACTAATTTTATTGTATGCTTACGAGGATTTGAAACAAGGGTCGTAAACTTCATTAGAGACTTCAAATCAAAATGGTATACCTTAGACTAAGACCATCAGTAGCAAATATATAAGTCAATCCACGTCAGTCTCGATATATACAACTATATAGTACCATTCTGTGATGTGTTCATTTAAGATTGTACTTCAAGCATGGGTATAGAAATTTCGAAATTGTTGCAGTGTTTCGTCAACGTCTCGTGAGGTTATGATGTGTTTAAATAAATTTTCTACTTACGTTCTGCCACAGATTTAATTAGGGAGTCACGACAGCTATACCTGGGAAAACATCGCTTAAAAAAGAAAGGAACTTCCGTTTCTCCTGAGTATTTCATGCGTAGCGCGCGATATGTTTGCTGTCTTAAACGGCGCCAGATCTTTTCTTTCAGCAAAACGTGAGAATGGAGCGTTGGATGATTTGCCCAAGGGGTTCCCGTTCTCAGACTGCGCAAAATTTTGGAGATTTTCTAATGTTGTTTTGTAAACGACGACCAAGATATTTACAAAGTTTTTAAATGCGCGCGCTGAGCGAGTTTTCAGGTTCATGAAATCTTATATTTCGCCACCTTCTCACTATCGTCGCCGTCGTTTTTTTCTTAAAGTCTCTAATACTCTGCTTCTGCGTAGTTTGTCCACGATCTTTTGGGAAAAATGGCAAATTGCTTGCGTAAGCTAACCAAGAATGAGTAACGAAACTAATCATATCTCACTGAGGTAAGAATTCATAAAGAGATCTCACTGTGACAGTCCATGCACCATTCAACCCTTTCCTTCTCCATATTTAATTACCTTATTATCTACTTCTCCTCTTCAATTTCCCAACGCGGAGGATTGAGGACCTGGAAATAAAACACATATATAACAGGTTCACGGTGTAAAAATCTCACAACCTCTCAGATAATGTACCAGATGAATATGTCAAAGTTCAAGAGTTGGGCGAGGTGAAGTGAGAGTGGGGTATGGAAATAATTAAACCAAGGGTAATGGAGGTGGTAATAAAATTCTCCATCACCAGACAACAATGACAAAGTCCATCTAACCTGTATATAAGAGGAGAAAAATCTTGCTTACGTTATTGTCTCGAATCTATTTTACTTATTACAAAAATGTGGTAGTTTACCTCGGAATGGACGCATATGGATGCTATGACCTGAAAATAAAGTTCAGAGCCACACGAAACATGGTTTCTAAGTCAAAAATTAGATATAAATGAATCTTAGCCTCCAGGGAGAAAGCCACTTAACCAAGGGGTGTGTATGTATGATTTATGAGTGAATTCCAGGCTCTGGATTGTTATCTTTCTCTTGGATCTAAGCTGGAGCCCTGAAATCTCGAAATAAAACTTCTTTCTCAGGGATTTCCCTCAAAATTTTACTTCAGCCTTTTTCTATTCTCTCGTGATAAAACACTTGTTTCTCACAAATCCTTGGCCATTCTGAATACAATATCACTCCTAGCCCACTTACACCTAACTCAAACTGTAGTTTTGGTATGGAATCACGTTGCATAACAGAAAGACTGTTCTAAAACATCACGACAGCTTTATTTCAGGAAAAAAAAAGAAAATTGTACATACAAACCTTTTGATGTCACAAGCACCAATGGAATCGATAACTGCTTATAAATTTGTATCTCACCACAGCCTCTGGCACCAATCGACGTGGAACACGGCTGAAACGGCTTCTGCCAGGAAAGGATTATTTCTTGCTGCTATTGTTATGCTGAGATGTTATATCCTCGAAAAGTATTCTAAGGAGATTCTCTGGCAAAGTCTTAACCTTCTCATTTGACGAAGGATTTCCTGTGATTATAGCCAACAAATCTTTTTCCTCTCAATTTTGCATTTTTTTGTATAACGCAACTTTTTAGTCGTATAATAACATTTTAATAGAATATACATGTATCCACATTATTTACTTTTCATCAAAATTTGATCTTTTTTATCTCCATTTTCATTTGTCGCCACGGATATCTCAGAAAATGCATTACCATGGATGGAAATGTTGAAGAAATCTCCAACAATGAACCTGACCTGGTGACCCGTTTGCTACATTCACAGGCTGAAAAGCATTCACTGCAAAATTGCTGTTTTACGTTTCATAACTCGCCAGTAATGTGTAGCTGAGTATAGGCTACGACTTAACCAAAACAGCCATACTGAAAAATAAACAACACCAACGTAATGTTAGAATATAGGATTTAGAGATAAGTACTTCCTACAAATTGTCCTGAAGGCTGTCAATGTCGTTCGCAGAGTCCTCGTCCTTTTTGGCAAGCGGTCGTGCGCCCCGTCAGGGAACTAAATTGTCTGGTCATCCGACTTCCTTACGAGCATCTTAAACGCAAGTGTAACGATAAACTAAATTCCCGCCACGCCACGCATAACGTGATTGATTTGCGATCGTTTGCTTTGACAAGTTAGTAAATAGCCACTGGATGTTACAAAATTGCCATTGCAAGTCAATAAGTCGCCAGAGCAAATTGCTTAATCAAGGGTCTTCGCAAGTTACTGAGCTGCACCTGCAAGTTATATAGAATACCACGTCAAGATATTAGACTGCGATTAGAAGTTACTAAGTTTCTATCGGAAGGTACTAAAATAAGATGACAAATTCTTAAATTGCTATTACAACGTACTATATTGCCACTGCAAATTGCTTAGTTGTTGAAGTAAGTTGCTAAAATACTATGGCAAGTTACTAAATTGCTCATGCAATTTACTAAATAGCCATCACAAGGTACAACAATACAAAGGCAAATTGCCTTTGCAAAGTACTAAATTGCCACTGCAAATTACTCAGTTGCCATTGTTAGATATTGATATACCATGGCAAGTTATCAAATTGCTATTGCAAGTTACTAAATTACCATTTCAAGTTATTAAGTGTCCATTGCAAGTTACCAAAATAGGATGACAAATTTCTAAATTGCCATTTCAAAGTTCTCAATGGCCATTGCAAATGACAAGTTACGAAAATACCATGGCAACGTAGTAAATTGCCTTTGCAATTTACTAAGTTACCATTGCAAGTTGCTATGTTATCATTGTAAGCCACCAAGTGATGCCATGCAAGTTTAGGTTGCAATCGCAAGTCGCAAGTCATTACGTTGCCATTGCAAGTTACCAAGATGTGGTCCGAACTTATCAACTTCCGCGCCAAGTTACGAAGTTGCGAACCAACAAGAAAACAAAAGAAAAAAGCACAATCAACGGTCACGGTTAAATTCAACTTTCCTTTAAATCGTCATTAGGAGGGTTACGTGGATAACATATTAAAAAAGCTCACCAGGCGGTCGGTCATGAGTTGGAAGAATTGGAAGAGCCTCTATGAAAATCAAAGATAAAACCTCAGTATATTCGAGTGAGCTTAATGACATAAACTAAGTTATCTTCCTTGAAATACAACCTAGAAAAATAATTTCATCAGGAGTTGAAAAAGCATACTCTGAGCGAGAGTATAAGCTAACAAACTCTGTGTATCTTCCGCTCAATTCACCCATTTCCTTATTTTTTTTTTATACATTTGTAGTCTTTTTTAAGGTTATCCATTACTTGCATCGTAGAGCTTTTATCACTCGATCATAATCTTATATTATTCAAACTACCAGTAATGTTGGTTAGATGGCCTGACTATATCTCTTATTTCAAGCAGCCCCTACTCAGGTTGTGTACAAATCACCCATTTTCTTTTCACATTCTTGTATTGTTTCTTGCTTTCTATTTTAAATATTAGCTACAAGATAGGGTTTATAGTCGTGTTAAAAACGCAGGGAACATGTCTCACAACAGAGGGATTTGTATGAAGAAAAGCCCAACAAATTGAAATAAAACGAAACAAGCACGTCCCGTTTAAATACCAAAACTGGATGTCTGCCAGTCAGAAAATTCTTCTTAAAGTTATTTCTTTCAGCCTCGCTTTATAATGTAAAAATTTTCTCACCTTACCATAGAAAACCCGGTGGCCAAGACAATAAATTATGTGTGAATAGAGCAATTTTCAATTGAGTTTCAAAAATGATCCAGGATTGCTTTGCTTTTTGCTTTATATCGCTATGTAATTGGTCCAGAAAACACCTCAGTCAGATTCAGAACTAAAACCAATTGCGATTTCTTGGTCACCCTCGTTTTCCTGCGCTTCATGCATTTTGCTTGTTTTTACCTCAGGTTCTCACTGCATAGTTCCTCTTGATATTTTTTCCTAAGCCAGTTTAGCTGCTGAGATTGCTTTGATTTTGATTTCACGACGCTCAATCGAAAGCGCTCTAATGTGACATACCATACGTACCTCCTTTGCCTACAGGACGCACTTACAGAGGCTCATCGTAGTAGAGCCTAAGACATGTGTCGCCTATGACTCCAACGTTTCACAAGACCTTATTAGGCCGATGATTTTTTTTTCAAAGCTCGAAGATACAACATCTGACCTGTCATCGGAAGGTGTTGGGTTCAAATTCTCACTTGGAAGTCAGATTTCCCTCTTTTCCTTCGTTAACTTGACATCATTTTTCCTCGATGGTTTTGTACTTTAGAGCCAGTTCATAAAATCATTTTCTTCTTCACAAACCTGTCTCACAGATAAACCCATTCCTCTGATTACATGACGCAGTCCTCCATCTTCCTTCATCTTGATGAGGATTCATGAGTACGCAATCCATTGACTGTTTATTATTTGATGGTTCACTGACATTCCAGTAAGTATATTTGCGAGGACTGTTATCTGTCCAGAGGAATATGCCCTCCCAGATAAAGTCATTAAGGCCAATCCAAAAATCAGTGCTGGTTTCTCGAGTGAAAGTTTAAGAATACCTGTTCTTTCCTGGAAAATGAAAAGCGAAAATAACCAACCGTAGAAGGTTCAGACTAGAGCTGCGGTATAAATGCGTAACTTGTAAGATTAATAATGGTACTAGGACAAAGAGGAGTCCAATTCGGTCTGTAATCATAGGGAGTGATTGACAAAATCGGGCGACCGCGAATCGGGAGTCCGATTTGTTAATATGCTCACTAATTAGCTTCCCTTTTTTCTGACGAGTTGTAAATAGGCGTCAGGTAGTAAGCCGCCGTCATCACGATTTAACTGTCCAATTAAAAGCATGACGCGCACATTGTCCTATTAGTGCTCAAATCGGGCTGGTGATAACCAATCATGTTCGACGGAATTTGTGGTAGATTTGATTAAATGTATTGTACTTACCGATTATTCACTGTGACAAGGTCTCCATGCATACTGGTGTTATTTCGACAAACATCCCTTGCTTTCTGCCAAGAAAGAAGAGGATCTGACACGCTGCGGTAGCAGCTCTTTTCATAGTTCATCCAGCCATCCTCACATCGTCCATGGGCTTAAACACAGCAAAGAAAAAAAACAATCACCTTGACCCATCTCAAACCTTTCATGTACTGAACTTAAATCTTTGGGTGGGGCTAAAAGAAAAAGTTCGACAGAAGAATATATCGTCAAACTGGTGCTATATAGCAAGAGAAGAGAATTGTGGAACGCGAAGTAATCCTTCATGCATTATGTTTGGCTCATAAAAAAAAAAAACTTGCTCTAGAAGTTGCTTTACAATCAGACTTTCGTGTGTTCCACGCGTAAAATATTCTTGGGTCGACCAAAATTAACATGTCAAACTTCATCGATTCAAACATCTTTCTACTTACGAACTCAGTAAGGAGGTAAATTTCAGCGCATGAAAAGTTCAAAGTTGGACGGGGCCTCGAATTCATCCTGTAGTACCACATTTCGCACCGTAACTAAATAAATTAATACATTTGCGACAAAATCTCCTCTGATGATTAAACTCCTTAAAATTTGGTGTTCATTCCAGGATTAGCTAAATCGGAGATGACTGGAAATCTGTTATGTACGATACCTTTGTCATCTCAGATATTCCGACAATTGAAAACCAAAAGTAGTAATTAAGTATTCTGGCTCTTGTTTATAAACACAAATATAGTGACAATATTGATAACAAAATGCACAGTGTCTCGAGCTAATGTCGATATTACTTACTTGGTTTAGGTTCCAAAGGATTCACATTTGGTATGATGGTTTCTGCGGAACACATCATAAAAATATCGTTTAGTACATAGTTTGTGCTGAATTTCTCTTTTGATCAGCCGTCACTTTCTAACAAAAACAATTTATAGAATATTTTGATTCAGACGGGCAGTGATGTGGTGGTCATCTGTTACTTTAATTGCGTAGCAATGCTCCGAGCCAACCGAACAAAAACTATGCCGGAATAGCAAGCATATGGAATTCAAAGACAAGTTTTGAGACCCCGTTATCCATGAATAATTTTTAAAGCGCCACTGAAACGAATTCTAACTTCCTTCAAACTAACGGAAAAAACAGTATTTCGAAACGAATACTATGCATAGCATTGTGCAACTTGAAATTCGAGTTACCGGCTCCTATCTCTTACGCGATATGGAAAAATTCCTCTCAAAATTAAATGTGCTAACAAATGAAATATGTACGACGTCGCGAGGTTTGCAGCTCGAAAGCGGAGGTCCTGACCGGTTGGGAAGTTGAAGAAAGAGAGAGGTAAAAGAATTAAGGTGTCAAGTATCCGGTAGCGAGAGGCGGGTGAAAAGTAAAAATTCAGTGCCAGAATTTACTAGGGGATCGAGAACGTGGTCAAAGACCATACATATGCCGGCGACTCTGTAAATATGATGAATATCTGTAGCTTTTATTTTACCAAATTTTGATTGCTTGTACCAAAAAGTGATATTAGAAATATGTTTCTTTATTTTTCCAAACCAAATGTGAAAGGATATAATTCTTTCAAGTATTTGCAGGCTCACGAAATTACCGTTGTTTTCCCAAAATACACTACATACCCGGTATAAAGTCTAATATTAAAACAGATTATCTTGTGATCAGTGACGTTGCCGTGAATATTCGTTTATGAAATCAAACGTCAAAGCTAAAATTTTCCTTTTTAAAATTTTCCTTAGACCCTTTTAACGCTAAGATTGACTAGCAGCTAATTTCTCTTTGGAATATTACCCCTGAATCAGCTAAAGAGGCTCTTGGTTGTTAAACAAATTCCCCCTATCAGCACCTTAGGAAATTTGTAGAGAACAGTATGGAGAATATGCATACTGATGTTAGGGTGTAAAGGGTCAAGTTTTAAATAAGGCTTTGCGGTGAGGTTCGTACATGCTTGGAGTAGAACTTTGACACGAACAATTGACTTCTCATTACAGAGACTAAAGAGAATGGAGAACAAAATGTGCTAGCCCAAAATATGATAAGTTTTACATATCAGCTAGCATACTGTGGGTAACTTACTCTTGGTCTGCTTGCAGACGTAGCACTGGTCGATACCGCAATTTAAGTCATTCCAACTACTTGCTAACCACGACCTAATTACTATACAGTCTTCTTGGCCATAGAAATCATTTGGTTCTTTGTTGCTATATTTTTGGTAAACAAATGATGACCCATCCGACCATTGGAAATTGCCTTCTGCTCTGAGGTCATTAAGTCCAATCCAACAAGGACTACATGATAAAATTAATGATAAGAATAATTATGAAAATAATCATAATGACTATTATTTTAATAATGATAAACGACAGCTTAAAGGAAATAGGTGCGCTTGCACTGAGAATTGTGCGATGCAACGCACGAACTTAGTCAGGTCATAACCAACAATTCATATTTTCAGATTCATTCAATGAGACGGTGCACGACTTTTCTCCATGCACGATTTTGAAAAAAAACTCAAATGTTGGTCGAGTTGGGAGTTAGGTTTACGCTTTAATAATGTAGGTTTCAACGCAATGAGATCAGCAATACCCATAGTGCAAATTTTTAAAGTAAAAAATGAAACTCAATTAATAGTCAATTGAACACAAGGAAACCATCTGACAACAATAAACATTTGTGCGCATGTTTGTTTTCTTCTTGCGCCCATTCATTCGCACAAGTATAAGATTAATGTGTCTCGCAACGTTTTCCGGTTTAAGCAGTAAGCGTTGCTCACAGTGAAACTAGGTTGCCCTTTTCCCAGTGATTGCTAAAATGCTGCAACAGTCTTTTACGCAATATCCAGTGGTACACTCCCTTGCAAAGACATATTTACCCACCCCCCTTCCAAAAATTATGTTTTTCGACTTCTTCATATTTGGTGAGAATTCAGCAAGGGAGTTGGACCGCTCTTACCCTGAGACATGGCGTGTTATAAAGTCGTTCTCCGCAGCACTGTGAATACTGGCAAGGTCTCCTCCACGGATTCTCTGACATGCCTGTCTAGCGTCTTGCCATGCGACCCGGCTTGAGACAGAATCATTTGCAAAGTAGTAACACGCGTTATTCCAACGCATCCATCCGGGGGGGCAAATGTCAGGAGCTGTTGTAATAGAAATGCCCATAAATAGCAACCTTCCATAATTTTCTCCCCGCCACGAAAATGAAAATAAAACGATTAGCCACACGTGTTGGATAAAGCATATCCTGTGTTCTCATTGGCTTCGCGAGTTAGATGAAGTATATATATATATCCTGTGTTGTGATTGGCTACACGAATCAGATAATGTGTATTCAGTGTCATAATTGACCACACAAGTCAGATTAAGTGTTTCTCTGACGCCCTACTTATTCAGGGCCATAAAACACATTTTGGTGCTTCCAATATGTCATTTTATGGCTTCTCACAAAATTAGAACTATCCTCTTCCTCAGGCATAAGATTTAAAACTAATTTGGATTAACTATGAAGAAAAGCAAATCCCTGAGGTGATTCTTCGTCTACTTTCTCTCGATCGAATTGACAATTGGAAGATAGATTATTGTCGAGGGGGTAAAAACCCTCGTGAAAGCGACGAAAAATAAAAGCGAATCCAACTCACATACGATCCAGTTGTGGAAGTCGATCTGAGTGAGTGGAGCGTTCTTGTCGCTGCGTCATACTTGCCAACATTAATTGACTTAAACTTAAAAATTTACCTCAGGAAAGATTTTCGGACCGTGGCATTGCGAGTGAAAATGTTTTGAAGTAGGTTCACGCTCACCTGATTCAGAGATATTCCTTGCTTCGCAAATAACAAGAACGAACGGAACACAAACTATCAACGCTTTAAACAAGTGCGAAGTGAGTATCATGGTGTCTGAGTGAGTCCAAGTCAGACTGAAAAGAAAACAAATATATGGAAGATATTGGAACCTAAACAATTGTCGGCGCGAATTCTAAAATACTAAATAAAACATTCTGTTTGCTTACCGGTTATTACCAGAGGAGCATACTAAAGGAACAACAAGAAACTCTGCGCTTCTGCCAGAAGTTCGAAAATAAAACTGTTTTTGATACCAGCCCTGACTAATCCCTGGTTATATCGACGACAATATCATCTTACCTCAAGCAAACATAACGCAAATGATAATGTGCCATTGTGAAAAACAAACTGGCTCATATCCAAAAGCGTACATCTATCAAGCATATTACGTAACAACCATACTTGTGCCATGAAAGAAAAGCTGATTGTCAGCTGTAACAAAGATCAAAATACCTTATTTCTGATTTGTAATATACCTCATTTTATAGAGAAGCACGATTATGCCTGTCTTTTTCTAAATTTTTTTTGTTAAATTTTAAATATTTTTAAAGGTGATATCTGCTGTAAGTTCCAAGTGCAACATTTATTCGTGTTGGATTTTTCACGTGTTCAGAGTTTATTATTTAAGTCTTTTCACCCGGTAACTAGCCAACGTTTATATTTGTTGTTTCATTAGCACCTTTTTCTTTTCGTTATTTTCATTGCCGCCCTATTGCTACCTCACATAATTGTTCGATATATATATCAACAATATGCATTTCTTCTCTCCTATCGCACAAAGTGCAGCTGTTCGATAACTTCCCTTTTTGGCCTTTGTATTTTGCAGTATTGATATTGGTCTCTTGTGCGGCCTTAACAAAGTTAGTGTTTAAGAGTCCTCTTTCCGTCGTGTTGTTTGTTATTTCCTAATATCACATATTGTGTAACTTTTGTTATTGTTTGTCATTTTAGTTAAAACTACGTTACTTCACCGTTGAGGAGTTAAAGTAAATTGTTTTTTTGTTTCTTTATGATGTGAAGTTGTTCATCCCGTGGCCAAAAACTTTATTTTCGCATAGTGCAGTTTCGTCTGCCTTTGATTATTTAGGGGGTTTTAAGGGTATTTTTCCAACACTCCAAGTGGCGGGTAATTATACCAGAAAACCAATATCAGTTACAGTTTAGGTTGTCTTGTCTAAAATATCTCGGAATGTTTCGGTTTCTAATCAATGTCGTGCAACGTTTATAATTTCATGTACCGGTTGACCTATCCAAACTGATCCAATGGTGTTTTGTTTCAACCCATCCCTTAAAGCGAAGTCATTCTGTCTGATCACATGTTATGTCGGCAGATAAATACTAGGAAGGAATGACAAGAAAATTTATTCTACTTCTACTTCAGACTTCTACCAGCGGACTCGTAGGTTTTGCAGCTGAGTCTTCCTTTTGGTGCCGACAGGTTTTCTCAGACCTTTTTGAACAACACGAGCAAACTTCCTGCACTAACTAGTTAAGGTTATGATTAAGATCGTGATGTAAAACCAGACTGATTTCAAGTGGTTATTCAGTATAACCCTGGGGGTTAAAATTCAAACACGTAACCAACTACAAATGAAAACTCCGGCATAAGAAAACAAGTCTCCGATTATAGAAACAAGGACGGCCAACTTAGTAAGACGATATTACATTTCTCAGAATCCTGAGTGAAAAAAATAAAACAAAACATGTGATCTAGAGGGTGAGACACAAACTTCCGTCAATAAAGAGAAGCACTTGACAAGATCTAATGTGTGCTGCGATTGGCCAGCAGTGAGCGAAATTTTCCTTAATTCCCAAAGCCCATAATACTATCAGTATCAATAAGCTAATTATAGCTAAGAACGAGACACGGGCAAAATCCTTGGTTTCCATAGATATTGAAAACAAAAGCCTTCTAACTGTATTACTGAAATGTCATCATGACTAAGGAAGAGAAAGGATATTGCGGAAGAACTATCTCAACTTTGCTTTGCACGCTTCCTTAGCCGTATACACTCTGTCGCAGCTCTTTACACTCGCCAAAGGACTCAACATGGACCTCATAGATTTTCACAGAAGACCTTCACTAAGCTTCACACTCCAAGTATTGCTGGCTAAAGTAAGAGCGGTATCGATCATGAAAATATTTTTCCAAAATCTGACGAGCCCGTATCCATATTGCACAAGTTTTAAGGTATTGATAAAGATGTTGTGATGTCTACACAAAATTATGCGTCAAGTTTTGGTAAAACTAATCAAGCAGTCACCCACAAGGAATGGTTACCGCCCCTTAATACATGTTGACCGCTTAATACAGGTTCCGCTGGCATAAAATAGAGCAATTTATGTGATGATCTGAATCATACACGCATTTTGATTGGTCCTTAGCGATGATCTATTTGGGGAAAGATTCTCAGACGTTATCATCAACAACATATTGCTTTTAATGCTATCATGTAAAAGAAATGGTTCCATGTTGCCGTGGGTCTGCACAGTAACAGATCACAGAAGACGTCAATTTTTGATGATAACATCAGTGACGCACTCGGCGGCGCCTTGTGTGCCACTTTTTTGTTCTTGCCGCATTTTGAGCTGTGATCTATTGCTATACAGACGTACAGCAAAACAGACTCTATTTGTTAAATCGAGCGTGAAAATGTTGTAGCTCCCATTGCGTGCCTGCATTTTGACGTCAACATCCGGGACATCAGCCATGAGCTTTGTCGAAAAAGAACTAGTTGCCGTGTTTGTACTAACATATTTTGCTAACCAAAATTGTTGAGTTATGGTTACTCTAAACTAGAAATAGTCGGTAAGTTCTATCGTATTTCGTATGTATTGTAATTTCGCTTGCTAAAGGTGTAATTTTTGTTCGTAGAAAACCTGCCTTATTGCCTAACTGGATGTTTACTCGGCTTGCTTACTGGAACATTTGTGGATTTTCTTTGGAATACCTGTAAATAATTTGTTGAGTCTTGCGCTTGTGTGGTCCTGCGAACTGCGTAATAAACATTTTTCCAAAATCTGATGAGTCCGTATCCATACTGCATAATTTTTCTGACTAGCAACTTGGTGTACTTCAATGTCAGGAATTATAAGTAACTAACAATGTCCCTGAATAATAATAAATAGGCCGGAACACACGAAGGAAAGCAAAATTATTTGGTAGCTCAGGAATGAAGTACAAAATAGTAATAAAACTAGTAATAATCAAAGATTAGTTAAGTGCGTTCGATCTCTAGTAAATTGTTTTTGTACTGATTGCGCAGAAAAAAATCGGTGTCTTCAGCTCTAGGCGTCACGATCGATCCTTTTGGGACTGGTCCATAAAACCCGAGAATGATTTCCGTAAAAACGACACGCCTTTAGTATGCGTTCTCCTTCGTCACGCGCAAATATTTTGGTCTATACATAATTTTTCATGCTAGGAAAATTGTGTTGGCACTACGAGATAATAGACCACTCACAGCTTGAATATAAGGCCTCAGTCACATCTTTACTTTCTCGACATCTCTTCGAAAACTTTCACGGCCTGGCAACGATAACAACTGAGGAGAATAGAAAAATATATTTACATCATCTGGGGTTATTTTATTTTTATTGTTACATTTTAACTTTCATTCATGAAGTCAGTATATCTTAAAGAGCTCCAATCCATTAATTTCAAATCTCAAAGTATGATATGTATAATGACAAGCTAAATATGATGACTTCATCAAAGGTCTCAGAAGAACTTACGATTTTACAATAATATGGCCACAAAGTTCGAATTCACTTAAAAAAGGTAGACACCCGATGAAAAAGACCTATTGCCCTCCTGATCTCTAAACACATTAGTTACAGTCGCCTTCTCCTGTTTCAATACGAATCTCTTCGGTTTTGCTACAAGACTACTTAATAACACTTACAGCGTGGGCAAGCGATGTCTCACCTGAAAGCATAAGGAATTGAAGGGAAAGCACAAAGTAAATTTGGTTATTCAGCGCAAATGATAAATATTATTTATATACTTATACAGCGCCACGTTTCGAGTTAGTTACCGCACATACAAAAGTAGTTAAAACTTAATATCCAAAAGCTTGTTACATAATCTGTTCCTGTGACAAATCGCTAGGAATCGTTAAACATTTAACCAATTTTCTTTCCCAGTGTTCCTTTTCAATATTCTTTGAAAGGTCTATGAAGCTCCTTTCTCGCAGCTCCTTTGGGAGTTTTCCTCTGTCAACATCATCAAGTTTGATGGCGACTAAACTGTTATCTCTCCTTTCCATGAGTCGGTGAAGGGCGTAATCCATCTCAAAACCGCAATAATTGCTATTGAAAAAGTTATTAGACACGACAGCTATTGTTTTTCTTGACTTGTAAACACTGTTGACCATATTTTCACGAAAAGGTACTCCGGCAACGAAATCTCTGTAGTGTACACAGCATTTAAGACCGTGCTTTTCTTCCAAAGTTAGAATTAGAGTTTTAGTCACCCAATCCGAGTCTTGGGAGCTGAAAATAACGAACGCGTCGTATTCAAATTCAAGTTCTGAAAGCAAAAATAAGTACATGTTGTTGACTGAGAGTTCTATGGTATAAAATTTATTGGAGTCAGATTTTTCCTCAAAACCCGTTGAGGTGATTCCTCAGAAAAAAATCAAGTTATTAAACAATTCTTTTTTTAAATTTCCTTAAATGTTCCTTACCAATGTTTGTTTCGAAAAGTACAATTTAAAAGGTAGGTCACCATACTCGTTTAAGAGATATGATGGGCCAAACTTACCCCACCTATGCCTGTTCTGGCACTAATCATGCGCGTCATTTCATCGATTCGCGGCACATTTTGCTGCAGCTGGAAGCAAGGGTGATTAAAGTAACATTTTAAAACTGAAAACTCGATAGGTTGAAAGTCTTGAGCGTATGAAACAATTTGATATGTAACTTTTGAAACTATCACGGAATTTTAAACGACGTCAATTCAAAACGTTCCTCGAGTCGTTTATCAGTCATAATTTGCATCATCGAGTAACAGACTGTGCACGATTTTAGCAATATCTTTTTTTCCAATTCGATGAATGTTTGTTAATTTGCCCAATTTAAAGGGGAAAATTTATACACAATAATTATGCAATTAAAAATATAGGTCACCATGCTTGTTCACGAGCTAAAGACCATCCTATCTCATTACCCAGTCCCCTTATTGAAAAACAATACCGTGTTCTCGGAATATGCACGCGCTTACTTGCCTGATTACGTGATTTTTATGTCCAATACAAGATGCAGAGTTCAAAATTGAGGAATCACCTTAACAATGTTAAAAATAAAGGTTTGCAAGGTTAAAATTCATAATGTGACCAAAGAATGTTCTCTGCCTCAAACACCCGAGCTTTCGGCTTTCAGTACATAGCCTACACAAACTAAGAATTAAAAAGGATCTTTAAACCTCTAAAAAAACTGCCGACCTCTTTTCCAAGTTAGCCTCACCTGACACTGAAATTGGACCATTCACGGGCTCCTTGGTTCGAGATCGACGGCGCCAGCAGATAAAAGACAAAGCAGCTACGGTAATTAGCACGCCTGCCGAGACGATTCCGGGGACAAGAGCATCGCGAGTCTTCTCATCTGAGGAACGAGATACGTTTCAAGGTTATCATTTCTAATCATCAAAGACTTAATAAGCAATAGAAGTCAAGAGGAACTAGAAGATAAAAAAGGTAACACTGGGCACATGGTTTTGACGAGATGAGCTGGTGTTTTCTTAGAACAAGTTGGAGGAAATGACTGTACCTCGAACTCTGCTCTCTTAGCCATTCGCATTATGTCTCGATTCTCCACTTTTAGTTTTGCAGTATAGGTTTTCAATCGAACCCATTGCCTAAATTCCCAAATGTTGGTCCAGCTATTAAGAATATCGGTGATATCCACGGAAACAGTAACATTTTAAGGTAATAGAGAACGACCTTAGTCTGTATGCATTGTAGCTATTCACCCAAAAATGGGAACGCGTCACATACATTTCGTAGAAAATTATAACAGTTCATAGCGGTGATAGGATCAAGTGGAGTCCAATTCGGTCTGAAATAATACGAGTGATTAATAAATCGGACGACCGCGAAGCGATTAGTTAATCACGACCAATTAATCATAACCATCACGATTTCCGAAAAAAAGATACATCTAGAACAAATGTCTAAAGTTAAATATTCCTCCATATTGGAAATTCCCCAGTTTTTCTCAGGATAAGTGGTTGTTGCTATGGGTATTGTGATCAATTCTGTTATAAGTTGATTTATTTAGCTTAGTGGACTAAGTACGATTGGCTTCTTCAACTGTCAGATAACAGGTGTCCGATTACAGCCAACTGTCATGTTACACTGTCCGATTACAACTCTACAAAATAGTTAGTGAAAAAATAAAGCGTTAATGCACTAATCACATTTGAGGAAATTGTAATGGTTATGATTAACCAACTAATAGTTTCCTGTAACTTCAACAATATTTGGTTGTTTGGAAACGTCCAGGGACTAAAGTAGTAGGAACGTACCTAATTTCGTTGTCTTGCTCTCCCGGCAAGGTTTTTTTTTTAAAGCTTTCGCAACCGAAAGGAGCTGAAAGTTTTGGAAAAGTAATTAAGGCCAACACTTATTATAAGCAAAGCTTGTTATATCCAAGTTTCTAAAAACAGGAACAGCTAGTTTGTTTGAAATGGATTTTCCTTTTTCAGTTTTCGTCCTCTATCTCGCATCCTGTTAATCCTGTTTTTTTTCAATATCTCAGGATTAGAACCTAAAAAATACAGCGAAGCGACGTGGGAGTTTCTTTCATAAATATTACTTACTTTAGTAAATATTAGTAGCTTAAATAAATATTTACAACTTGAAAGTAACCACTGTGATACATCGCTTACATTCAGCCTTGAATTAAGGCAGGCTCAAAAGAAACAGCGAAATTTGGATTATTGCCATAAGAGTATTTTATTCTAGTGGTTTTATGTTGAACAGCTTAAGATTAACCTAACCTCCATAACATGAATTGATTAGATGTATTACAGTCTACTTTCCACGAAATGATCGTCGAGTGGTCATGCAAATTTCCTCCATTCAGCAGGAGAAGTTTGCTTCATAACCCACAATATTTTCATCCTCCCGGCGCCGTTTCAAAAGGTTTTTGAAATCAAGAAACTGAACATGATTTAAGATTTTAAATAGCAGCCTAACTTTCAGATAACAGTCTTCAAATGCACTAAGAATATGACCACAAACCCCGCATTTTTATCGCCTTGGCAGCCTAGGACGTATGCCAGAGACACTACTCTTTTATTATTTCTTGACGATCTACTTCAAAAGTAAGGAGCTACACAATTACGGCATTTGTAACCTGAGATAAAAACTTCTTACTAACCGAGCGAAAGGGCCGCACTGGGAAATATTGGCCCAGGTCTTGGCAGTATGGACCAATTGCAGCGAGGTCCTTCCAAAAAAAACGACTGAGGGCCAATATTCCACATTGTGGCTCGAGCAAGCGAGGTTATAAAGTTAAATTTGTTCTAGAATTTGCTTGCTTATCAAAACCAAAAATACACGGCGTATGACCGTTTCCGTGGAAACGGTCCGTATGGCAAAATACCGACCAAGTAAGAACCGATCAGAACGCTCTGATCTACCTAAAGACTACCTTGCTTTATAATAACTAGAAGTAATTAAGTTATATAGTATATCAATGAACTGTACCTCCTAAAACATTTGTAGGTGAAGCTGTTGGATCTGAGAAAAAAGAAAAAAACTGTTTTTTCAACACAACAAGTTTCAATGACCAATACCCCTGAGCTAATAGACAAATTCCCTTTCTTTTTTTCATATCATCCTTGCAAAACGTTTCCTTTTAACTCAAAAGCTGGACAAGAAGAATAGCACTGAGACAGCTTTCGATAGATTTTTCCTCCAATTCAGTATTTTCTTTCTTTTTTTGTTATATTAAGCGGAAACGAAATCAAATCATCACACAAACAACTAACCCAATTTAATATTTGCTCAAAATTTCAAAAACTCTTACCTTCAACAATCAACCTCACTGTGCAATTTAATTTTCCATAACTACTGGAGGCCAAGTAAACAAACGTTCCACTGTCCGATTTAAAAACGTCCGTAATTTGCAGATACCAATGTGATTTTACAAAATACCGATCAGAGGGCAGATGAATCTTTCTTTCATCCGTATACCAAATGTAATTTTTAGCATCGCTCACGTTACAGATCAGCTTGACTTCCTTTTGTCGCATTTGTTCAACGAGCCTTGGAGGAGACGACCGCCTCAACTGGGGTGCAGCTGCAACATAAGACACAAGAAAATTTAAATATTCAATGTCTGGTCGAAAACAATAGTTATACTTTTTATAAAACTTATCGATAGATTTTTCCTTAACTTCAGTATTTTCTTTTTCGCTCTGATCAGAAAAAAAATTCTTAACACAAGCATCTTTCACACCTTCTCATTCATGAATGAACTATTTCTACACTCACCACATCCTTTCTCATCGGATCCATCTGCACAATCGTTTTTTCCATCACATTGCAAATGACCTTGTATGCAGTCTCCATCACAGCGAAACATTTCTTTTGAACAAACCAGAGGAGCCGTTGTTGGACATCCATTTTCATCTGACCTATCATGGCAATCATGACGACCATCACACCTCCAAAACAATGAAATACAACTCTTATCGGCACAAGTAAACTGGTTTGCTTTGCAGGTTTTGGCTTCTAAAAGAAAGAAAAATAGGCTGTATTTTAACAACTAATTACACTCATTAAATCATGTATCTACCGTATTATCAAAACTACAAGGAAATGTGGATGAATTAACATTTGCAAGAGAAGATGAATTTTCAAAGCTCAGTCGATAATGTGCCGTAAATGTTTATCTCCAAGGATTAAGCATATCAACATCGTCTGCATGAAACTTGGCCATTGCTGGTATTTGATTGGTTTGACCGCGCCAAAATTAAGGCTTCTCCATTTCATTTTAGATTGGTATTCATTCAAAACAGTCAATCAAGCTACTGATCATATCTGTCCGCCAACGGAATCTTTTCGATTGCGGGGAGAAGTTTAAAAATAGCAGAGTCTGAAAGTCGAATTTCCACACATTTTTTCTAATTTTTAGTTACTTTTTAACATAAGGGAAGTTTCTGGTTTTATTTCGTAAATCTTTCTCGATGGAATATACTAAGGCTGCATGCAAGGCTAAGTAAGCATATCCCATGGAAGTAGATCTATAGCCATCATTTCCGCTGAAATTATTTATTGAAACCGCTACCTCCACGAATTTCGACATCTCACGGTAATCTTGAACACTTTTTGTTAACTTCCAATTAAACTTGTGCCGTTTTCCTGAGCATAGAGTTTAGTCAGTTAAAGAGGCTACGTCACGACTCACGCATGCATACAATGAATCAAGAAACGGGTAAGAAAAAACGGGCCAATGGCAGCCACTACCTTAGAGTTCCATACAATCCATTAAATCCTGGGATGTTGTTCTAGTCTGAAAACACTACCGACTCTTCAATTCTGGGATTATAGTTCTCCAAGTTTACATCATGTGGTGTAACTTGGAAGGATGAAGGAAAATGTTTAGCCAACTACAACGCATTTCTCCTAGCGCTGAGCTAAAGGAGTCAAAAGAACAGTTTTTAAGAAAAATTTAGAAGGGAAACCTATCCTTCTTAAAAATGTTAAGCAATTCAAGGAAAGGAACCTTTCAGACCGCTTGTAGCTTCTTTGCTCGATATTGACAACAAGTTGCTGCATATTTGAGTTTTGCTATTGTCTCATTTCCCTATTTACCGAAGTGCAAAGCCACATTGGCAACCGTTATTCATTTTTACCTTGAAACGTTGCCTAGAAACTTCAGGATCGTGTTGTGCAAGTGATCACCTTAACAGTGAATGAATCTCCAGCGCCGTTGCCAGTTTTACATTTCAAGCATACAGGACACAGTTTATTGATTGCATTGATTGTCTTGCATCAAACACTACAGAAGGTGACTAAACAAACATGAGTCACACTGAAGCGACAAACAGGAAGAGCTCAGTGCGCAAACCTGTAGCATGACATAGCCCGTTTTATCAGTGATCTCAGTGATTTAACTCTTGACAGAGCACATTTCGCTCATGTCTTGGAAAGTCAAATCAAAATAATCCCAAAAACAGACAAGACAGGAAAATTATATAAAAATCTTGTGGAAACTCAAAAAAAGAAAATAAATAAAACAGGCCAGAACTGCCTGACGTAAGGGTAGACGCCGACGACAAAAACGTAATCGGTTTCACTTTTGCAACCGAGTGGGTTGCGATGTTGGCGCGAGTTCTCTCAACCAATCATAGAGTAAGGTCAATAGAGTCACAGGTTGTTTCCGACTCAAAATTTATAAAAGCACTTTCTCGAATTATAAAATAACTTAGACACAACTTGCGCGGTAAACTAGAGTTAAACCGTTTCACGAGTCAACTTCGAGCCCAAGTCAAGTTCGAGTCAACTTAAATTTTTGCCCTCTCTGTAAAATAACATCGTATGACAATACACTATTATGGAAGCCGCCCAAAAAATTAGAACAAACTCGTTCTTAAACTATGTTGTTTACCTTTTACTTCAGTCGAGACAGCTTATTTGGTCTGTTTCGATCCTACCACGGACAAGAATTCTCGAATTCTGAATCGCTGATAAGCGTTCTTAGACCGCTTATAGTGTTACAGATTTGTCGCGAAGTTTACAACACGTTTCAAAGTCAAGACATATCAAAACCCCGGTGGTAACCACGACTGATGCTCTAACTACGAAAAAATTGAACTCGAGCTTCCAACTAGACACAGTGTAGTCCACACATTATGTAACATGGCTCGACAACTTTGTGATGCTTCGAAAATTTTGAGCAAGCGAAACCCGTATATCACGAGAAAAACTAAGAAAATTTTGGCATGGTCATTGTGCCAAAACAAATGTTTTACAGAGAAATGATATCTGTTCCCCACAATTTTGGCTCAGGAGAGAATGAGATAGCTTGTATGGGATCCCTGTGGATGTAAATCAGAGCTGCGATTCTTTTTCATACTCTGAGTCAGTTTACTCAGTTTGTCGTTGGAAAAGGCTGTCTGCCTCAGAGGTGTGCAATTAAAAAGTCGGAATCTTTTGGAGAAACTCGTATATACCTTGGAATGTTTACTTCTTTTGAACGCAGCTGGGAATCAGTGCAGAATAACCCTTGCAAACGGCCGTGAAAAACGTTTTTAGCTTAAAAGTAAGTGTTCTTGTATTCCTGGTACCATGATCATATTGACACAGATCTCAAAACGAAAATAGAAAAAAAAAGCTTAAAATCAAGACAAAAAAAATTTATGGTGACTCGAAATTGACTTCTGACTCAAATTTGACTCGGGCTCGAACTCGTGCTATGGTATAAACCGATTATCTAACTAATTGAGTCGTTTTTTAAGCCTTTATTTTTCGCAACAAGGTAAAAGTGACAAGAATTCCCCAAACTGCTTTCCGAGAAGGAAAAGTTGCCATGTTTTTGCTTCAAGAAAATTGCAACGAAAAACTAACAGGATTTCCATTCAGAAATTTATTGAAAAATTCTTCTTGGAAAAACTCATTTACAGAAAAAAATTTCTTGGAAAAACTGATTTACACGAAAACGAATATCACAAGCAAAGTGAATGTGTACTTTACCGGCTCGCTCATTAGCATTAGTATGTATGACGACACAAAGTCTTGAGGCTTTGTCTCCTCTAAAATCGCATAAAAATTACTCAGAGAAAGAAAACGCATTAATCTTGATAAAGAGGTGGCTATAATAAGACAAGTGACTTTGATGTATCTATCAACTGAATCTTTGACATATCATAGAACATAACCTATGAAGTTCACATACCTTTAACAATGAGCTGTATTGTGTGATTACTTTCGCCGCAGTCGCTCACCACGACACAGGTGTAAAAGCCGGCGTCCTCTTTCTTCGCCTTTCGTATCCTTAGGTATCTAATGATGAACTGTGAGCGTCTGACTGTACGTTGATGACCTCCGCTGAGTGTCTGATTGTCCTTGAGCCAGTAATACTTTAACGTTTGGTTCGGATCAATGATCTTGATCCAGCACGGGAGTCTTTTATTCTTCCCGCTGTTAACCTTGATGACCTTTCTGGGCTCGCTTCCATTCTTTCCACGGATGTCAGGAACTGAAATCGGAGAGTTATTTCTGTTAAATCTCAGTTTTCCATTCAGAGTAAACTGAAAAGTTCTGGTGTTGTTCGTTGAAATCTAAATACGTGTTGTTTTTATCTTAACTCCTTAAACTCGTCACCTCAATCGCAGTAAATTTCAAGAACTACTTTTAACATAAAACTAGACAAAAATAGCTGCTTTAGAAGCTAACAATCTACTCAACTCGTAAGGCGTTGGGCCTCGAAAATTTCATAGAGTAAACTACGCACAAAACACAACAAATAAGAGTCATCTTGGATAACGTGAGTTCTGTTTCATTGTTTTGAGCCTGATAATATGAGCAATATGTTCTGAATTTTTAACATAAGTTATTCGAACGGTTTTTGAGATTAGTGTTTTTAGTAATAATGGAGATAATTCTTAGTGATGAAAATAAAATCTCAAACGCTGAGTAAGTTTGGGAAACTATAAGACTTTCACTTACAGCTCAACTCCTGTGACACAATGCGCAATATATTTGAATGCACTATTTCATATTTGTAAAATGTTGCTGCCACATGAAAAAAATTCATTTTGTGTGTCAGAATCAATACTTATTAAGAAGTAATTTACCTGCCAGCCTACAGCAATGCTCTGATGCAGTTACACACAAGCTTTTTGTACATAGAGACTAAATATCATGGGTGAAAATTAGAAGTAGAAACTGTGGAGCAATGTTTACCAACTATATTGATAATAGAGTGATACAAAGGCCAAACTTACTTTTACCTTTAAAAAATAGCTATACTGTGAATTTTCATACATATCAGGTATTCTTCTGATCGAAAAAGCTTTAAAGCATGTGGTATACCCACCACTTTTGTATCAAGCACAAAAAATCAATGGGTAAATACCAGTAACTCTTATTTTCTCTCTGAGCTCGAAAGCTACAGAAATGTTTGAATTGTAAAAGCTAGCCTTTGCATCAGGAAAGTGAGGAAAATGTTGACATCTAATGCAGGCTTGACAATTGACCCCTAGGTAACGGAAAATAAAAAGCCCCTGCTTGAGGAGGAATGAAGAACAAATTAGAGTCTCCTTGGGTCACTAAATAACTGAACAATATAACTGATGTCTGATAACTAAAAATTATGACTGATAACTTAAGCTCATATATATTTGAAGTTCTACAATTTTTTCCATTAGTTATAAGGCTGTGCTACAGTCAGTCTTAACTACCAGTAAGAGTTACTGTGAGGAAACTATATTTTTGTCTGAGTTATTTGCAGAGTAAGATGGCGACACCATCAGTGGGACATATTTAAGTTGGATTCACACCAACCTGAACACGCACGAGTGCTCCGTCCACTATCCAGAGCGCCCAGAACACCTAGAAGAACCGCCTTGAGTATAAGCGAACTAAGTGTCATGGCCACTAACAGCCGGATTTCTTATTTCCACCGACTCCACTTGAACAACTTTGATTATAATCTCAATTGGAGGATATAAGGAAAAAAGCGACTGTTGACCAAAAGAGATGTTGATAAACCAACCAATTAACTGTCAGAGCGGAAGTTCGGATTAGGTTCTCAAAGTTCACCATAAGGTTTCCGTGATAATTCCTCGTTCGTGCAGTTTTTATCTGGCCATTCTTTTCATCTTTGCAAGCATGCCTGAAAGCCATTATTCCGCATGCCTATCTACCAGTTTGACCCGCTGTGGTCTGCTCGTTCACACACACACGCACACGCACGCATACAATGATCAAACCCAATAATAGTCCAATTACGGTTTGACATGCTACTGAATTTGTCCGCAGCGATTTAAAAAAAATACATGAATAAAATCTGATCAACTGGAAACGCGAACTTCGGCACAATCAAACAAACAAGAATCCCAACTGAGTACGTCGCACAAAACTCAAGAAAATTAATAAAAGGTCGAGGTCCTGAGGAAAAAAAAAAAGTACCTCACAAGGCTAAAAACAACTTCCCTTTTGATAAGAGGCTAAAAATCCAGACAGGAACTTCCCACGCCCCATGTTAACGTGTTATGAAGTATTTCGTTAGTTTTCTGAGCCTGTTAGTCAGTTAGTAAAGTATCACTTGCCTTTCGTTTACATTTCGAATGTGGTTACTGTTAGTATGATTTCTTATTATGAAATTATTAGGGTTTGGGCTGTGGTGATGCAGCTCATTCCCCGACATTAAATTAAGTAACAAACGTAAATGGAAATAGTCACAAAAAGCTATATTGGTTGGGAGACCCCACGCAAGTTGGGGGCCAGATCCAATAGCATATAAAATTTCATTTGCTTGATCGTGTTTTAGTAATGTCACAAGATACTCTCACTGGTTGGTCACAGAAAATTACAATCGAAGCGAATGCTTTGAGTTAATCCTTATAAAACTATAAATCATTTCAAAGTTTGTTAACTACATAATTCGATGATAAACTTTTTCGGAAATACAGAGATGACAATCTAAAAACAAAAAGAGAAAACTACTCATGTCACCGTTCATGTGCCTTTAATCAATTAATAAGTGCTTGCGCCTTGTTTCGGCAAACAGTCTTCAGAAAGTCAGCACATATTGTGCAGACTGACTTGATAAAATCTTATAAGTAACACGATGCTAATTTTCAAGGGAATTGGTTTATTTCTGTGTGCCCCAAATTCGAAAACGTTTGGCCAATTGGTTCGAAAATAAAATCAAAAATCAAGCAGAGAAAAGCACTTCCAAAGTTTCCTTAGACGATTTGTTTACTTTGATCCGAATTCGATTTTTTTTCTTTAATTCTCGCGAGAAGGAATATTTTTATCTGCTAAAGTGGTTATTTATTAGGGTTGGCGATCTAGATTACTAGATACTTAAGATTCGGTAAAAAAACTCATTTTCGCACAATTTCGCCCATGAAAGTAGACAGTTTCAAATGATTACGCTGCATTTTAAAAAATAGAATTTAGCTACTTATTGTTAGCTCCTCTGAAATGTAAACAATGACCTTCCAGAAGCCACTAGAAGTTAAACATTAAAGAAAGCAGGCGAAACGTGTGCCGTCTATTGTTGTGGATTTTCGACCGTAAAGACTCATGTCTGTTGAGGGTGATGTTTTCAATTTTTTCAATCAAGACTCATCATTATCATCAGATTAATCAGTGCCTTTATTCTCCGGCAGTTCGCGTTTCATTTAGCAAATTGTCGCGCGGTTGCAAGAAATTATATTTCCGGATTTGCATGTTGCATTTTCTGTATTAAAAACATAGTTTATAGGATCACTGACAAAACTGAGTAGCTGCTTTATTTTCCGCTTAAAGCCTTTTTTTTTTACAGTTTCATGCTAAACAACCAGAAGAAGTTTGCGTTTTTAAGGTTGTGGCAATCGAGAAGGGAAGGGAATAAAAAGGCGACTTTTTCTACGTCGCCCCATTAACTCCTCCTTATTTCTTCTAAAAATAACGGAAACAGCAACTTGTGTGGCTGAAAATGAGGAAGTGGAAGCTTTATTATATTTTAGCCCCATGAACCCTTGGAGCGCCACTGATCTATCTCCGCTGCAGATGGTTGGGCGACTTCGTTGGTGGCATGTTTTGAGCGAAGGTACGCGAAGGTAGATTTTAGTGAGGTTCACAGTTTTCAGATGACATATGGGAAAAAACAGTGAATATCCGTACAGAAAGTGTTCTTGACAAAATGCCACACTGTTGTTTGTCTGGTGTGAGGATAAATACAGCGATCACGTATAGCAAATAGATATCTCAATGGGGGTCATCCAGAGGTCAGCGATCAGATCTGTCTGCAAAGCTCAAAGCCCAAAATAGGGAAAAGAGTCGCTTGGTTTTTTAAAAACCGAAAATTATTTACAGTTGAACCACGCTTACTCGACCTCCCATGGGAAACGAGTTTTCAACGCTCTTGCACAACCAACAGTCAAATTTGCCTTTAAAAGACCCTATTGATAAGAATGTTTGGTTTTGAAAGTTAAGCTAATATGTACATGTATTACGTTTTCATAAATATTACCATGTTCGTGTCAATCCGGATTAGAGATTAGAAGGTTTGTCTTTGTTAACATGTGGTAAAGAATGTGAAAAGTACTGTTCAAAGCACAGACAGACCACACTATGTGTTCGTGGTTGATAATTGTTGACGTGGGACGAACAAAATCTATGAGGGTTATGAGTAAAACTCTGAAAAATGCCCATTCAAATTACATCTCGGTCTGAATATCTCAATAAAGTTAAATGAAATGTTAATCGACGAGTGTGTGATATTTTTTAGCCTCCATGGGCCGTTTGAAACATCTTTTTACGAAATTACTTTTGGCCGAAGGCCGTGAAGATAAGAAAGGTCTCCCATACCTCTCTTTCCTCTTACTAAGGAAAAGATTCTCTCTTAACCTAACTGACGATCCTAATACCTTTTGCATCGCACAAACAATTTAAGGAGTGTTGCGTCATCCATTTTAATCTCCAGATTGCCTTCTACTAGATTTTCCCACAAAAGCATTACATCTACATATTAACCACTGTATGAAACAATGGCTGCTAATGACGAAACTTCTCGTCAAAGGATATTACCTACATTTCGGTCTCCCATATTGTTTACATTACATGAGTGAACAATTCAAGAAAGAAATATCCCCGTTTTTATAGTGAATTACAACGTTACTGGAGACAGTGAGCTCAACTTTAAGTCCATTCTATTTACATAAAATCTTATTGCTCTGTTCTTGGGAGGAAAATGGAATTTTCCATATTTTTCTCTATTCTCGTCGACTGTCAAATTTTTCTTTTCTCCATAATTTTATCATTAGTAATTTTTTCCAACAATACCGCAAAGCGTGCCGTGAGACGAGAGGTCGATGAATCCGTCTATAAATGTATTTCTAATCTTCAAAATGAACCCCCGGAGTTTAAAAGGAACGTCGTAAATTATTCTCCAAATAAGAAAGAAAGTAGACAAGTCCGAGTTTCCTTTTATGATGAATATTTAATAGCCCCTTACTGTCATACTTTTTTTATAACAACTGCAGATTTCGTCCATTATTATACTACTTTTCCTCAGTTCGCCTATCATGTACGTTTCCTTTCAACTTGATGCTCTTAAGCATTTTCGAGAGTCGAAAGCCTTCCTTCCGATAATTATTGTTAATTTGCAATTGTTTCTTCTGCTAGAATGTACTTATTAAATAGTGCAAGTGCTTGTTGATGGGAAAAGTAGAACAGCTTGCAAAATACACATATTAATAGCACCGTAAAATTCCCTGAGGTTTCGCGTAATTAGACAGAGAACGACTCACAGCAAATACAGCTCGGCCCGTGGTCTGTATGCTTGGGAAAGTATCTACTTCGGCCTCAACACGAAAAAATAGCATTTGGAGTTACGTGGTATGGAAAACTTTCATTTTAATTTGGACATGATTTTGGTTGGTGCGTTGTATCTTTCTCTGGTCTTTGATATCCTTTGCTGCTTTAAGAAGAAATTATCGCACAAAAATGACACGAAAAACAATCACAGTATAAGGAATCATCAATTTAAATCACGCATTTGTGGACAGTGCTTGGCGTCAGGAAGAGAAATGTCTTCACTACGATTTTCAAGGCAGGGAAGCTCGCGACATTTTGTTCAACTAAGGATTCTGGCAAGAGGCTGAGGTCGTACACAGACAATGCCGCTCGGACTTCAAGTCATTTTTTTTTTCTGTCAGACGAGACAGTACGTATTGCGTTTAAAGTTAACCAAACATGTGACATGCATATAAATGCTTCGATAGAAAGAAAGAAAAGTTTGGAATTTTCATTTTCTTTGGTCGAGGTCATCCTTAAGTACATGTATCGCAAAAGCAACATTAATAACTTCCTATTCAAGCCACATGCTATTTTGACCAATTCAAAGACAGTTCAAAAAGATTAATTTAGCAACAACATTGCGGTTTTTTCAATGTACGGGAGGTAAAAGGCGTAATTAAATGAGACCACAACAAGACATTCTTAATAATTAGGACCATGTCACCACCGACCCATTATGACTTTGGTTTGACGTCTCTGAAATCTGATCAAAGGACGGCTACTAACATCATTTTGTAACCACATTGTTACTTGGACTTTTAAAACGCAACGTCAAGGAGAAACAAAAACGAATTGTTTATCCGATCATCCGTGCTATTAATCACACGAGAAAGAGCCTCCTTCGATGGTTAATTTAGGATCAGCGTGTGATCAACCAAAAGACACAGATGCGTTCTTTCTTCACAAGACTATGTGTTCAAACAAATTTGAATTTGAAAACCGAGCGTGAAGAACCGTTAATGACACAAAAACCTAACCATAAACATACAATCGGTATTTCGATCTCTTTTCAGTTTTGATCCTACTTCAGAAGTTTTCCGGTAAATTGTTCCCTAACGATTAACTTAGAAGAAAGAAAGATAGAAAGAAGAAAATTCGACCATTTTCAATTCACCAGCACTGTAAAAGCATAAGAAACGGCGAAATATCTATACCCATAGATATCGCTCGATATCAGTTAGATCCTTACTCGAGTCCTTGTTTTTTTGTTTTTTTTTTAAATCAGACAGATTATTATTGTGAAAAATAATTTCTCTGGTACATGTTTTTTTAAGAGGGGCCATAATTATTGAACTAAAAAATGGCTAAAACGAAAGTCATTTAAATGAGAATAAAAAACAATCGGTTATTATGGGAAAATGTCTCTTGAAAAGTGATTAAAAAGACATTAAATTGTCCTGGGGGGTTCTACCCTTTCAGCATGAAAAGAAAAGCAATTAGAGGAAACATTTCATCGCGGAGATAAAACAACGTTCGAGGAATATCCTACTGGGTCAGTAAATATATTTCCGTAGATTTTGAGTCGAGAACTGAGCAATCTGAAAGATCAATGCTAGTGTTGCTGAATTCGAGGAGGTATTAAAAAGAGCTCTTTGTCCAGCTAAAAAAACTTCGGTTTCGGCACAGAAGCCACTTGAGAATGACAGTTTACCCTTTTATAGATGATATCTCTTTCTCTGTTAATAGTGAAGTCTAGACGCTTTTCCCAAACAAGATATATGATAATTGTCAGATGTCTATTGAAACTCGGACTTTGAACGAAAGAAAAACTAAGGCGTTGGAGGGCCCATCTAACGGGAAATGGCCACGTGAATAACTAAAATGGAAAAACCTATACAGCGCGCCTCTGACTTAACGGTTCGGCCACAATCACCAGCTACCAAGCTCATTTCTATTTGAAAACATACTTCGTATTCAGTATTTTCTTTGCTGAAGAGTGATAGTACAGGGCGAAATTATAGCTAAATTATCGAGAACGCGGCATGAGCATAAATTCCGACAAGAACTCTCTATCTTGGACCTTTTCAATATGTTCCCACTAAAACTATTACAAAATCGTTCTCTAGTTAGATCTTAGCTTGGCTGGCAGATATTCGTCTTACAACATGAGTAGGATTGACGGTTAATCTCGGCGTCTTTATGATAGCATTTCACATATTTCCAAAAAGTACTCGACAGGCAGCTGCCTAGAGGATTCCTGGGAGCGCAATTTATTAGTCATTATGACATCACAATTGTCACCAACACTGACAGCGAATTACACGTCACTAAGCAATTGTAGTTACTGCCCCAGATTTTCAAGTATTTCGAGAAATTCTAAGAAGCGTGTAGCATTCTTTTCGGTGTCCCAATGTGCGGCTCATTGTTGTCGAAATTCAAGAAGTCAAGAAAAAGGATTAAATCTTCCTCTGACACGTATTTCCAAGACCGAAGACGAGAAACTAATTTCGATGACCACCCGAAGGTGGTGCAGATGCGTGGTCTTATTAAGAAAATGCTCGAGGAACATGAAAAAACCAAGATCAAAGCTCCCAGAAGCACAAGCAAACGGAATGAGAAGACACGATCAAAATCTAAAACTAAGGAGACGACTGCGAAAAAAGAAACTGCTGTCCTAACAGCAGAATTCGAAACTGGAAGTTCACACGCATGTCTACCATTCTCACAGGTGGTCAAGGCTTCTAGAGACATCACAAACTGTACCGACAACTGCCATGATTCAAAGGTCGAGACAGGAGCAAAAAAGGACCCGCACGCAATGGAGATGAGACGGTCTCCGGCTGAAGGATACCGCTTGCTACCGATTATCCATCGCTCAACAATCACCATTCAGAAGGTGAAGGAAATGGCTAAGGAAATGGCTAGGGAAGAGGAGCGACTTAAAAAACGGAAGACCAAAAAGGTGGCTAAAAGGAAGTCAACTGGAGAAGCGAAAAATAAGGAAAAGTCTGCTTCAAAAATCAACCCAAGAACGAAGTCGTGTAGCCAAAAAATGACCAAACAAATGTTGTGTACACAAAAGCCAGTCATGCAAAAATGTACCCACGAAAGCCTAGCTAAGGAAATGCTACCTAGAAAGCAGCTTATTAGTAAGCGGTTGACCAAAGAAAAGTCACATACAGAAGGGCTACAGGTACAAACATTCGACAAAGAAAAGAAATGTGACAAAACGGTGGTTTATAATAGGTTGCTGGTTGGAGAAAAGTCTTCATCGAGCAAGTCATCTCCCACCTCTAACAAAACGGCGCCGAAACCCCTAAATTTCGCTTACACGATCTTTCTTGGCAGAACTAAAAGCGCCATCGCTTTTAAAGTTCTCACTGATGGCAAACGTAAGGAAACAGTTCTGCTTTCAGCCAGGGTACCAAGACGACTCCGTAAGCTTGACAATCCGCCCAAGCTTACTGCTGAAATGATGGCTGAAAAGCAACTAGCCGTTCAAGAGAAAAGACTTAGAGAACTGGAGCGAGTCCGAAACTGCGCTCGCGCTTGTGCGCAGCCCGTTAAGAGAAACACCGCCGTCCACTAATTAACATTTAATTACGCAGTATGGACGAAAAGTAGCGTTGCGCGATCAAAAGATTGGCAGTGCAGGAAAACCATCGGAGGCTCTGCATCAAGCTTTAAAAAGATGAAGCCGAGCAACACAACGCAAGATAAGATCGTCATTCGAAGACAAAAACAATGTGTGATGTCAAACAGCTTGCTTATCATGAACCATTATGACAGAAAACAACTCATTCATTCCCTGAATTTGTTTCTTTGCTTCTTTGTTCATGAGGTTTAAAGAATTTAAGAAAATATTTAGAAGGTTCTCTTCCCTCTAATGAACTCAGTTTACCTTATTAAGTGTAAATATGATGGATATACACCGTAAGTTACGAACTTTAATCCACATGGTGCAAATATTCCTCTTGCAGCCCAATACGTGCTGTAACCCGTGAACACAACTTTCAATCGATCAATCGTCTTTTTTATTGGAAAGCTGTTGCTGACTCCTCCAATATCCTAGCGTTTAAGGTGACCTTAATAGCTACATACCTTAGAGAGGTTTCAAAGAGGGGGCTATAAAAACAGATTTTTTTACTGATTTTTGCTTATTTGGCATCTACATTGAAATTAACTTTTCACGTGTTTACAAAGCCTCGCCTAGGAGATTAATTAAAGACAGTCATACACAGTTTGAGGTTTGCATAATCTGCGAGAATTCTCTTACCTCCCCCAGCGTTGGAATGAGGTAATGTAAAGCGGGGAAACGTCTTCTATTGTATTTATAACATATTTCTCAAAAATACGCGCGAACACAAAGCATCACAATCGTGTTTACAAAATCTCGTCTATACGTATTTATCGATAATAAGGGCGACGATTTTCAAGCCCAAGAAGATTTCGGGTCATTTTGAGAATCGCACACCTGGTCAGTGTAATCAGAACGAACAAACAACTTTCAGCAGGAATGATCAAAGTCTTCATGACAAACAGATGAACGGAACAGAACACAACCATGGTGACGAACCAAAACCACGTCTTCTTGATCCTCCCAGCCAATTGAATCTCAATAATATTAACCAAATTGTTTCGAACTATACCTTTAAAAGTCGACTGACTGACAAAGCTAACTAGAAGACCTCTTAAGTGCGATCGTTCTCACTCTCAGCAAGTTGGATGATTCTTTTCATCACTACCCCAGCAAAGCGATCACACCGTAATAACCCTTTTAGGAAAATTTCCAGTCGAGTGTTGAAAGTAATCTGGTATTACTTTGAATAAAGGGAGTAATATCAATTTCTACCGAAACTGTGGTGCTGCGTCGGTGGGAGAGTATAACAGGGTACTTTAGAATTATCAACTGAAATGATAAATTATTACTTTAGTTTTGCAGCACTTCGCTGTGTCTTTGGTCCAGAAACCTCGCAACATTTCCACAACCAATCAGTTCAAAAATAAAAATAGTCGCGACTTGGTCACTGAAGATCTCCCGCGCTTCAAGCAGTTTGCGTGTTTTCCCTCTGAAATCTCAATCGACCCGTTGTGATAATTTTTATCTCTTCTGATTGGCTGTTTTGGTTGCATTCGTTTTGGTTTTCAGAGTTCAGGCGAGTTTGTCAGCTGAACCTTCATGATAATGCTGTTCCACGATATCTGCACAGTGGCGACGATTCATAAAATCACGAAACTGTTGGGGGGTCCTCCACGATAACCCTCCAAACTAATTAAGGTGGACATGACCTTAACACATCACAAATCATTTCGAACTCATTAAAAACGTCGACCAAGCACCACAATAAAGCGTTTTAGGTTTGAGCCTCAATGACAATAGGGCTGCTACTTGCGTCGGCGCAGATCTGTCCACTCGGTCTCCGTGTCCGAGTTGGCCATAGTAGCCTGGAACATAACAAATTTACGTCACTACTGCGGTTACGTGGTGCAGGTCCACGACAGTTGAATCAGTCGTGTGAGGTAAGAGCCATCAGTTGATCGAAACGTTTAAGCAACGTTATAAAAAATTTTGTGCAAATGTTGATCAAAATCACCCAAAGGTCTACTCTCCCTGTTTCTACACATTAATTATCTTTTAGGAATGAGGACATTTAATAAATTAAAGCAAGTATTTCAATATTGAGGAAAAAGGGGGTAAGTTTCTACAGAAACTGTGGTGCTGCATCGGTGGGAGAGTATAACAGGGTAATTTAGTGTTATCAACTGAGTTGAAAACGTAAATTGGCCTTCGTCAGAGTGATTGGCCATAGGGCTAACGCTCGAAACTTCAGCCTTTAAACTCTTCACGGAGGCCAATTTACGTTTTCAATTTAGTTGATAACACTAAATTACCTTGCTAATTCATTTAAGGATCGAGTTCCTTTTAAATACAAGGGAAATTCGAATAGCAAAGTGGGTCATTCAATCTACCTATCCTTTGATAGATTGATAGACGCATAAAAAAATGGATTTCATTGATTTCATTTTCAAAACACAGAGAGTTGTGTCCATGAAATGAATATTCACTGTTTTTAATGCATAACAGAAGCAAGGATAGGAAAAATTCTTCCCATTTTTCCTGGGAGGAAATTTGAAGGTAAAGGATGGCCACTGGTTTTGACTTCATATTGGTTTAAGTTATATTTTTCTCTCCAAGAAGTCTTACAGGGCATTCAAAACTGTCATGAACCAAAGCTACTTTAACAGAGAACTACATTAATATGAGCCATGTTTCATTTTTCTGCATTTCCTGAGCATATTTAGGTTGAACACAATATCTATTTAGACAGTAAAAAAATGGTGCTTTTTTAACAAATGTTACATGCTTGTTAAAAATAATTTTACATAAACAGAAAAATTCATTCAAACTTACCCCAACCCCATGTCCAGACACTCCCATCTCCTTTTAGAAAAAAAATTAAACCAAGATTAGTCACACTAACTAATTGACAGTGAGGTAAATGGGTCAGTTCTCCTCTTTTTTTATCTCCTACAAACCACTAAGCTTCTCTTTAAAATGTTGGTACAAAAAAGTTATGCGAGTCAGTCCTGATTATTTTTTAAGGTGGATGTCTTATCCACTGGATAAAATAAGCAACACATAAATTGTTCATAAACACTCCTTGTCTTGATAACAATTTATCCCTGGAAAGTGTTAATTGTCACCACCATTGAAACAACAATTAACAAAAGAGTGACTTCCCCAAATGTCCCCTCATTTCAACCTAAAACAAAACAAAAGTTGAACAACAGCAGCAAACCACACTGCCAAGGGGCTGCAGGGAGGACTAATTGACAAATATAAAACAGGAAAAACTGTCAAAAAACCATCTACATGTCAGCTCTCCAACTGGATCTAGTAGGTCATGATTTACTGTATCCTGTGTTTGATCAACAAATTCTAATAGGTACCAATGCCTATTTGCATATCAGTTGGAGATGGTGATACCCACCTACTCCTCCCCCCTCTCACCTTCACCTCCTGTCTCTCTCCTCTCTTTGTTACAGAACACAGCCATTTTTTTAAATGAAGTAAGAATTTTCACATTGTTTCCTTTCTCTTCCAGTACTTCCTATCCTTACCACTTCAACACCCAAGATTTTAAATTACAGTAGACAGAGAATTGCAAAAAGTAATAAGGATATTCCCCACTCCTGAATGAAAAATAGATCGAGCAATTGAAATTTAGTTGGAATATTCTGCTATATAGTCAGAGTAATCTCTGAGCTCAAGTGCCTGATGTACAACTTGTGTTAAAACCCTCCCCTACCATTCTATCAACCAAGCTCATTCTTTCTCCCTTCACATACCAAGAACTGCTGCTGTGTGCCTTGATCCACAGCTGACCATCAGTACCTCTAAATCATCTGGAAAGCTGACAGGAACTGGCACTATCTGACATTGAACCTGGCCACCACTTGACGACAGTGTGTCATTTGGATTGACAGCCAAACCCAGCTGTCCCTTCTCATTCCATCCCCACATGTAGAGGTCACCAAATTCTGACAGCAACACAAAAAGAAAAAAAATCAAACTTAAGAAAATCTACTCAGCTCAAAAAACAAATACCACAGATTTACATGTTCATAATCCATCAACACTTACTGGACATAAGAAAACTATTAAAAATGTGTTACCTGTGGAATCTTATATCTGAGGATTCATGTGTGAAGCAGAGGAGTGTAAGTTGAATTTTCTAACCAAAGATAAGTAAAAGTCCTTCAGCTCTGGAATTTGGAATAATTTTTTTGTTAAAGGAAAAAATCAGAAAACCATGACAAAAACGTTTGGAGCATGCTAACATGGACACGTCCTTTCCAAAAAGCACTAATTCTACCAACATCTGGCCAATTAAGGTCAAAGTGACCAGAGGGGAGCAATATTAATTTTCCTGCCCTGTTGATTATTCAGCAAACATTAGGAAATGTACTTAGGCTATTCCAATTGAATATTTGGCTTCTCTTCTCTCACCACTTATTGCTGCTGAATGCCAACCACCTGCTGCTATAAACAGCATTCTGATTCCTTCCAGAGCTGGAACAACCTCTGAGCTTTGCTCTTCAACTATTAATCCACGACCAAGCTGTCCACGACTAAAAAAAGCAAACAAAAACCTATTAGTTGGTTATTTTGTCAGAAGTTTTCATTAGTCGGTCCCTGGGTCTCATCCCATAGAAATTAGTGAGTCTGAGACCCAAACGATTGGTTCCATCCTCTGAGAGATTATTCTTGTTAATATAAAAGCTTAACAAAGTTTGCATTTCAAACATCAACAAAATACAGTTTTTAATTAAGTACTAACATTACCAAGGAACACATGCTTTCTTGAAAATGCAAACAACTTAACGGTAATTGTTTTTTTAATACTTGATACTTACGCTCATAATCATAACAAGCTTTGCTTTCAAAACCCAATGACAGGTGCATTCTGACTGGAAGTTCAATTCCCTTTAGTTTAAAAATTTGACTTTGAGGCTTGAGGGGGTTGTTGTAAGTCATAAAGGGGTAAGTTTCTAAAGAAACTGCGGTGCTGCGTTGGTGGGAGAGTATAACAAGATAATTTGATTTTGTCAACTGAGTTGATGACGTAAATTGGCCACCATAAAGAGTTTCAAAGCCTGATAACAACGGTGGCCAATTTACGCTAGAAACTCATTTGATAATACCAAATTAACCTTGACGTACGTAAGTAAGCATAATTTGCAAAAGTTTCCCCAGGTGACTTGAAAGCTATTAAAAGAGGTTGACTTAAATATAAGCTCATAAATGGAACGGTCTACCTTATTTTTCCGATTTTTCCACTTGTGTTTAAGGCTGATAAAAATTTATAGCTCGCCTTTTTCTAGCCAAGACTAACGCTTGTTTAACCCTCATCAGGGTGTCTTGCGATGCTTCTTGAAGCCTGTTCCTAGGTGGTGTCAAGTTGAATTTTAACCTAGAAACCCCGGTTTGGATTTTTCTTTCTCCTCGATCGCGATTAATTCAAATAATAGGGGGCTTTGAAGAATTTGGCGGGCTTTCAACGCGCGTACATTAATCCATGTTTGGTACGCCCTCGTTACCAGGGTCCTCTCGGCATTAAGAAATACGTAACCACGCAATCAAAATGGCGGCGTTTGTAACGCTTCGAATTCATTTAAAGACTGTGCGATTTTACGCCCCTATCTGCGTCGGTATATTAATTATAATATATAGATTTAGCCAAGTCTAAAAGCGGAGCTCGCATTTTTTTTCCCCGTACGTCTCAAGGGCACAACGCCTTGCCGCGGCCAGGACTAGAACCCGGGTCGTCCGACTCGGAGCCCAGTGCCCTCTACGGTCGTACGGTCGTACATCCAAATTTTTTCGGCTTGATGGGTTACTACTATTTTGTATAATTATGGGGCTACGCTCTGCGAGCTCCGCTATTATCACATAAACTGTGGTGTTATAGAGGGATTTCCGGCCCTGAGAAAAGCCGTAACAACACACGCGAGAAAATATCGTATTTTTTTCCACATGAGTTGATATAGCCAATCAGCTGGTGACACGTCACTCGCCTTTGGCGCCACTCGGTCAGGTTGATGAATGAACGGCAAAGCCTTCACGATTCTCAATACAAGGTAGGTTGTCGGAACTTTCACAGATTGTGGCGGTTAAAACACTGAAAAATCCGTATCGCTGACAGACAGTGAGGTTCAAACTTTTCTAGAAGGGGAAAAACCAATATACAAAAAGAAAAACCGAAAATTACGTATTCAGTGGCTTTGGTGTTGGCATTTCTCGCGGCTGAGAATGAAAATCGACAACTGGAAGATTTGTCGCTGGCCGATTTTGGCCGTTTACCTGAAAGACTTCTTCGGTCGGTAAGGACAAAGTCAATAAATGAGAATTTTGTAACTTGAAAATTACGACCATTATTGTTTTTGTAATCGTGATTCAACGTATTTTTCCATCCTATGAGTTAGCGCCAACACACTCCACGTTTGTTATTTGGGAATTGTCGACTCATTTATTTTCATTCATGAATGAAGTTGGCTCTTCTTGTGGGTAAAGGGCTATTGTGTTTATATGATAAACAAAATAATACATGGTTGCTTGTAGATACAGAATTTCTCTTCTCGGCTGCGCCTCGTGTGCCACTTTTTTGTTCTTACCACATTTTGACTTCATCTGTGATCTATTACTGAACAGACGCACGGCAACTTGGAATCTATTTGTTAAATATATAATTAAATTACACCGCTAGTTAACGGTGTAAAATCTTACAGTAAATACATTACTGACTGGAAGAAATTACGCCGTTAGTTACAGGCGTAAAATCGTACAGTATATATATCACCGACTGGAAGAAATTACGCTGTAAGTTACGGGCGTAAAATATCACAGTATATATATACTACCGATCTTGAATGAAATTACACCGTTAGTTACTGACGTAAAATCTTACAGTATGTATATACTACCACTGAATGAAATTACGCTGTCAGTAACTGGCGTAAAATCTTACTGCATATATAATATAACACCGACTGAATGAAATTACGCCATTAGTTACTAGCCTAAAATTTTACAATATGTAAATTGCGGGAGTGTTTCTTTTTTTTTTCTATTACGTCTTGGCGAGACCACCTTAGTAAATGGCGCGACAAACTTTCAGTCAAGCTTGAAAAGTGACAGGGCATGAACAGCTTTTACGGTCATTGCGTTTGTAACAACTTTCTTACGGTAGAGTGGCATATGTGCTCCTGGTTGGTTCCAAATCACGCCGCATTTGCGCCTCTAAGCATCCTTCGATAACCTAATTATAAGGCCCAGTTCATACGCCGTACTTCAGCCGAGCCGAATCAAATTCAACGAATTAACTTCATCATATGTGTGAAGTACGGCGTCTGAACCAATTCGGAACGGCTGACTTAATTTAGATCGGGTCAGTCAATTCATCCCGCCTGGCTCAGCCGGGAAGAACGGCTGTAGGCCGGCATTGATTCAGACGCTGTACTTCAACTCAGCCGAACCAAATGCATAAATTATTTTAATGTACTTTTCATGCTGTCTTTACTCGAAAGCATGTGCAAAATAGTGTTTTGCAGGAGAAAAATGGCGGCTTGGCGGGCCAAATTAAACGATGGTCACATGAGTTGTTCGTGTTTCGGCATGATCATATATACTTGCTTGAAATGTAAAATCCCAGTTTGCAATAAAAGTTCAATTCTTGAAGACGAGGATTACCATGGATGGGTCGCTGGTAAAACCGTCGCCTTTAAGACGGTTTGCATTCTTTTTCTTTTTTCACTGTTTTCCAGAATTTTGAGCAAAAGAAAGGCTTTTGCTCGCAGATTGCTGCCGGAATCCATGGCGTCCGCCATGTTTACAATTGTAATAACCGAAATTAATATTCTTCGATTAATTAATTTTGGCCGAATAAAGTTTGGCGTTTGAATCAATTCAGCCAATATTAACTAATTTAGTTCGGCCTATCGTTGAATTCGATTCGACGGCTGAAGTGCGGCGTCTGAACCGGGCCTAAAAAATTTATTGCAGCCTAGTTTGAATTAGAATGTCTTGTATTGCTTTTCCTTTTTTTTTTTTTGTATGTGTGTGTGTTTGTGTTAGGATGTGTTATCATTCCAGTTCGCAATTTCAAGACCAGTCATCAGCCGCATTACCCCTTACCATGTGAATTTAGACATAATGCACAATCAAAAATTTCAAATTTAAACCACACTTTATTTCAATTTTTTAAGGTTTTTGACAGTGCCGTGAAAGTGGTATTGTATTTCATTTTCTCTAACGTCACTGTCCCCGCTGTGTGGTTTCCTTTCACGACTTCTACGTCGTCCACACTGAGCTTGGATATGGCCCATAGCTCCGTAGTTGTAACATTTCCCTGCAAGGAAATAAAGATTCTTATTACAACAATAGCAGCGAAATACCACGTGACCTTTCGCGCGAAAACATGAAAATAGCACGAAAGTAGAATGGATTGCCATTTCATTGAGAGAGTCACTCGTATCTCCATGCGGCAATGTAAGATCCCCTTTTCATTACACGAATGCATTACTAGAAGAGCTTCCGCACAAAAATGTGACAAATGTAACATGTTATTTTTACAAGTGAACACCGCACCGACGCTATGGTTACAAAGTAAATAGTACGCAAATGAAATGTTCGGTGTTTCCTTTATCTTTGTATGACAAAATGATATTACATGGCCGTTTGGATGTAATTAAATTAGGGAAAGACAATCTTTCTCTCGTTCGCTGCTTGCACTCCTGAGACATATTCAACACTTGAAGGGATGTATCAGTCGCATTTCAACGCGCCACGCAATATCATGTACTTAGCTCCCTTCAAATTTGAAAACTAGGCGAGTAAGACTAAATTAAATTTGTCTATCTTAGTGAATGGGAAAACCAAATTAAACGGTTGAAATGTATCCAACGGTAGGAAGAAGTTTAGATTTCTAACTGGGTCGACCTGGAGGTTGACGTAAGGGTTGGCGCGGTAGTGGGCGCGGTTGCACAACGTTCTCTTCTTCAGGCCGTTCATCCTCGACCCTTCTCCCTCGCACAGGAGCCCTTATCCTTTCTCTTTCCTCTTCTCTCCTTCATTCCCTATCTCTTCGCCGCCTCTCCCTATCATCGTCTCTTGCGTTCTCCTCCCTTCTCTCGACTTCAATGTGCAAAAACTCCATGGCATCATGTATTTCAGTTATCTGAAAGGCAAAACCCAAATAATTTAGCATACATCAATTTTTTTTACCAACTAAATAATTTTACACGGTCCACTCTTTTTTTAATTCGAGGAATAACACCGGTTAAGACTGACACATTATGATTCTAGGAGATGTAAATAACTGTACTAAACTTGAAAAACGACAACAACAACAAAAAAGTTGCCATAAACCATTATTGAAAGAACACTTCTAGCGAAAACATGGAAAACTCTCTCTAATTGAAAACAGTGGAATCACTTACACTTTGAATGTATTACGAAAGCTTGAATGACTCATAAACTTCTCATAATGGCGCATTTGATAAAACTTCTACAACTTAGAAAACTTAACTGACTTACGGTTTAAGACCTTGTTTCTGTAAATGACAACCATACAGCTGCATCATACCGGTGTATAACTCTATCAATGAACGTATGTACAACGTTTCAACCTTTCCGCAGAGGTTAAAAGAAGATTTCAGCTTCTCGAAGAAATCTGAGTTGTTTTATAGTGTGAAAACCAGCTGGACAGTAATGCACAATAATGTTCTACCAAAACATAAAATGAACGTTCAAAATGCAAACGACTGTACAGTTCCTGTATAGCGATATGAATCATTCATTGAAACCAGCTTTCATATTGCTCACGACAATAGCTACTTCCGAAGAAGAGCGAAAATTAAACGCGATGGGTATTCAATTCATTGAATTAGAAGCAGGGCCAGTCTGTAATAAATACATACTGTAAGATTATACGCCAGGAACTAACGAGGTAATTTGGCTCTGTCGGTATTGTATAGACTGAAAGATTTTACGCCAGTAACGGCGTAATTTTGTTCAGTCGGTAACATACATACTGTAAGATTTTACGCCAGTAGCTAACGGCGTAATTTCTTCCAGCCGGTAATATACATACTGTAAGATTTTACGCCGGTAACTAACGGCGTAATTTCTTCCAGTCGGTAATATATATATATATATATATATGTAGGAAGTCTGCAAGTCGATTTTCGCGTGGAACAGTGCTCAATACGTTGAAGCAGAGCAGAATAAATATTATGAGAGGAAAAAAGGACGCAACTACATTTCCCGACAAGCCTGTTTCGTTAATCGCTTCACTCTTCACTCTTCACCCCTGAAGAGTGAAGCGATTCACGAAGCAGGCTTTTCGGGAAATGTAGTTGTGTCCTTTTTTCCTCTCATAATATTTATATATATATATATATACATATATATACATATACATATATATATATATACATATATATATATATATATATATATATATATATATATATATATATATATATATATATATATATATATATATATATATATATATATATATATATATATATATATAGTAAGATTTTACTATATTTTACTATTATGTTATTGTTGTTTTAATGTATGTAAAATACCTTCCACTTCCAAGGGTGTAGACAGTTCCTGATGAAGTCAACAACAGAGCATGTTCTTTGCCACAAGCAACTGATGTTATCTCTTTATCTATGTCTATTGCTTTAAACACAGGAACTGGTTTTGCGACAGCACCATCTTTCACTTGATCATTGCAGATGACACCAGCCTGTCCATTTCCTACGATGAAAAGACAATGTCAGTCTGTGAGAGTTAGGAAAGGTTTATCAACACATTTGAAGCATAATGTAAAAACAATTTGCATGATGAGGGAAGCTTTGTGACTCAGTGGCAGAACAGTGATAATACTGGATACTTTTTTCACCACTTAATTGTGTGGTTTCCCACTCTTGCAAGAAGTTTCAGTGACAGGCTTCATAGCACAGGCTAGCTGTGTCTATTAACTTGGAAAATATTTGAATGTAATTTTTTCTCTTCAATGCCTTTAGTCATTGTGAGAAGTAAATTCTTATCCTTTCACTCCAAGCAATTATTAAGTGACATCTCCTGACCATACCAAAATGATGTCAAACAGAAAGGTGATGGGAGGAGAGAAAATATCAACTCTAGAGTAATGTATGATTTCAGTCTAATTTCTCACAGATAAAATTTTAACTAATGTATGCAAGATGGTTAGGAGAATTTATAGTAAGAACTAGGAGATGCAGGAGTTAAAAATTGATTTTGCAACAACTCTTTTTATTGCCAAACTGAATATGTTACCCTTTGTATTCAAAATAATACTGTGTCAGATCTAATGCTATAGTATGAAGATAATCCTGGTTGTCAGTCATTATTCTTATTACAAACAAAACATTCATTTCAGACAGCTCTTGCTGCCTTATATCTACTGTACCTGTGACCAAAATGCAGCTGGACTCTCTGCAACCAACTTCTTTGAATTTTGTGCCATTACTGCAGACTTTCACAGGTTTTGATTCTTCACTAAATCTAGTGTAATCAGTCCATTGTAAGCAATCTCCATCTTTGGTCAGAAAGACAAGTTGTGTCCAGCTACAGCATGCATCTGTAACAAAATGATCTGGAAGAAGATTTTCCTCTTCCCCAAACATTTTTGTTTTAGAATTCCATCCAACCTTATTGATAGTACCATTCTCTAGGACAGAAAAAAGAGTGGATTCTTTAGAAGAAGCAACAGTGAGTTTATTTTCAATGTGCAAGCCATATGGGATTACAAAACTAGGTCCATGCATAAAGCCACATAGAAATTCAAAGCCCAGCTAAACAGTTTGTCACCTCATACTTACACTGATTAACTCTTTTCTGAAATGTACATGTGTTATCTTTGTACTGCATTTCCCTCAGACACTCAGAAGGAGGATATTTTTTCAAGAATATTAATGGGGCAATAATTAAATTTACCTAGAAATAAACATGTAGTTTATTTGTGACAATACACTGATAAATAATTGTACACACAATTTTGTCTCTTCAGCTGCTTGGAGGTGAATAGTTAACAACCATTCCTCAAAGTGGGGGTGGCTTGTGATGGATATTTAACAAGCCACAAGCAGCTAGGTAAATATCCACTACCAAACACTAACACCAAAGTAAATGGCTGTTTTAGTATATACCAAAACAGTGAGATAATAAAGCACAAAAATATGATTTTTTATTCATTTATTCCTTCAATGATTACAATATTTTGGGCACAAATCCCATACCAGTTGCTTGAAGGTGAATTGCAAAGGATATTCAGAGTTTATGTGGCCAATCAGAGTGCGCCTTCAAAGCCAGCCACTGTTTTAGTATATACTAATACTAGTTAACCACTTCGAACTAGCCAATCATTTCACAAGGGTTACTTACCTGTTTAGTATATACTAAATATTTCCTTGACGTATGTGTCAAAACAATTGTTCACTTCAGTGTCGTTGAAAATGGTGAATATTTACCGCGCTATTTGGGTGAATATTCATCACCAGCCACCTCCACTTCGGTGAATAACTATTTAATAGAGTTCCCGAACACCAGTAAACCACATCCATGTCACCGTTTTTTAAAAATGTAAAATAATAGCAAAGTACAATTTTACGACGCCTAGCTTTTAAAATTACCTTTAAGATAAAATGTGCTCGACCAGGAAGCCAGTATACTACTAACACAGTCAAAATTCAGCTGAACAGGTGTTAGGACTGAAGCGGGATGTGATCCACCAGTCTCGAAATCCACTTCTTGGCTTTCATTTGCGTTTATAGCTTTGGCAGTAATTTGTCGAAAGCCATTAAAACCGAAACCATAACATTGAAACCTTCCGTCAGAATGAAACGCTGACTTAGAAGTTGTATTCTGACTTGTTTTATCCATTGTAAGAGATCTACATGTGACCTTGTATTCCTTCCGCCATTTTATCTGCTGAGCATCCTAGCCTTTCTCTTTAAGGCTTGGATGCATGGCGATAACCATGGAAAAATGTAAATGCTCAGAATGATGCGCAGAAGTTATAATCGAACGTTCGTTAATGTGGTGTGAAGTCAGTTATTGGCACCATTCTCTTACCTTGCTTTTTGTAGAAACTTTGGACCGATCCCAGCCGTTCACGCAACGCAAGGAACGTGATGATTACCATTGTTCGCTTTCAAAGGAAACTTCTTCTCTCGAGCGACTAGTCAACTACATACTTCAATCGTTATTTGAATGTTTGGAATAATGCGGTCGTTAACGGTCGAATTCTTTGCTGTAAATTGTTAAAGAGCACGCAAAAATGGCTTCTAAAAGACCATTGGTTAAACAAAAAGTGACTTATGGCTTCTCGGAAGATGGAAATTTGTATGAAAACGAAGACGATATCTCTGGCAAGCAAAGTTTAACAAAACGCGTTTCGTTTCACAATCATGAGCTGAGTGACTCAGATTCAGATGAAGAGAATTCCCTCGGAAGGATAAATCGCTCATCTTCAAAGCCTGCTGGGGATTCCCTTGATGGTCTTTTCAGGGAATCGGACTCTAAAGAAAAGGAAAGCCTTGTGGGGTTGGCAAAGGCAGCATCCCCAGGAAGACCGAGATCAAACGACAAGGGTACGTAAGTAAGTTCGTTGATGCACAAAGTATCGAATATTGCACTGTTGCAGTTGGATACATTGTATATACCACATATTTAAACCCGAAAAGGAGTCAACAATTCAAAGAAAAAAGTATTTACGATTTGTCTTATTTTAAACACTGTGCATGTATATACAGTATAAATTAAATGATCTTTATTTAAAAAATTTTCCATTTTAACCAATACTCATTTATACTCATTATTAGATCTTGTTAGACACAAAATTAGTAGGAAAAATCCCAATTTATTTAAAGATGGAATTAATCGATAATTATGCTCTGCTTATGCTGTCTTCAATTTCATTTTGTAGGGCAACCCAGGCCTGTCCCAAGATCTCGTCCAACTATTTCAGTAAAAAAGTCGCAGTTGGAAGGTTATTCTGTAACTTCTACTCAGCAGTCATCAGATGAAGAAGAAGGGAACATGTACACTGTAAAAAAATCCAGTGAAACAATTAAGACAAAGGATGGATACCCAGTCCCACCTCCAAGAACTTCGCCAAGGCAGCATTCAGAAAGGACTTCTTCATCAAATGTGGTTTCACCCAGACCTGTGCCACGATCTAGGCCAGCTTTGTCCCCTAGAGAAGGACAATCAAAATTGTTTCAACAGGACTCTGGTTTATTGAAAGATGATATGATCAGAAGAGTGAGAGATATTGAAGTTCCTGAATTCAAAGAATCTAAAAAAGCAGCAGATAAACCTGTGGCTCCTTTGAGAAGGAAAAAGACTCTAGAGGAAACACATGAAGGTACAAGACCTCAGATTACCAAAACTATTATTTCCACTTTTGAGAATGAAAGCCTGGCTCCAGGCAACAATGATGGGAGAGCAATTGAACAAGATGGGAACTTGAGACATGGGAAAGTTAGAAAAGTCAAAGGTCGACCTATGATTTCAAGACCAAGGTCAGATTCCTTTGAGGAATTAGAAAGTGGAGATGATACAGAAATAGTAAATAACAGAAAAGGTTTCTATGGCAGAGAGTATCATGAGGAAGATAAAAGTTACCAAAGGGCTGTGACAGACTCTTCCGAAGGACTTGAAAGGGTGCCACCTAAACCTTCACCTCGAAATCGCAAACAAAATCATCAAGAGGTAGAACAAAGTGCAAACCATGTCAAGCATTCAGATGCCCCTTTAATGAAGAAAGCATCAAGTCTTGAGATGTTACAATCCAAGCAGAATTCATTTTCAGAGAAAGACATGCATGTATCTGTGCCCAAAGAAAGAGGAACTCAGAGATTGGAGTTGAAAAAGAGCCTTACCCCAAAGAGACCTGTTAGTGCTAAAAAGAGCTCTTGGATGGGCCAAGAAAGGGTCCAATCTGATATAACAGACACTTTTGAAGAGCATGTCCCTCCAGCAGAAAACATTATCATGGGAAACCAAAATGAAAGAAGCTCCAGAATGAAAAGAGGATCAGAGTTTGAATCAGGTACCTTTACAATATTTTGTAGGATTAGAGTACTTCTTTAAGTTGCAATCAAAGAAACATGATTTGAATTCTTAGTAGAGATTGACAGTGTGGCAGAGCATAGGAGTGAAAAATTGAAAGTTTTGGAGTTTGATTGCTAATACTCAAGCAACTTAATAATGTGATCTCTGTAATTGTAGTAATAGTAATGATAATTATAATAATTTAGCAGTGGAAATTCCACAAGGTGGCTCAGTCCAATGTTTGCAGTTTGAATTGGAACTTGGAATGTTGGTTTTCGTGGCGTGAGGAAAAATTGAGTTCCCTGAAAAAACCCTCAAATGAGGAGGACAAGAATCCACACCATCCATTGCTCCTCAAACTTGCAAACAAAGGGACTAACTTCCTAACATTGACTGATATACAGCCTAGTAACAATTTACAGTTGTAAGGTAGTTGATGAATCTCTTCATGGTTTAATTATGTTAGGTGGTGGTAAACAAAGATCTGGACCGTTAAAGGCTAATCATCTTATTAGCCAAGTGGTGAGATCGCCACTCCCAAGAGAAACACAAACAGATGTTTGGGCAGAAACCAGTGGTGTAAGTCATGGTCAGAATCTTACAACAAAGAGATCTTTGTCATTGACAAATTTGAGAGGTACCAGCCCAGAGCTTTTAAGTGAGAGTGGAAGTGCAAGGAGCTCACAACACAGCAGCTTGATGGATACAACATCAATACGTCAGGCCGTGTTTGATGAGTGGAAGTCAAAGAAAAGTGAAAGATTGAGAGAGCAAATGGCCAGCAAGTCTGCTGAGAAGAAAAAACTTGAAGAGAAGGAAAAAGAGGAACGTCAAAGAAAAAAAGATGTAAGCTAGTGTAAACTAATAGTTAATATGTGTTTATGAAATCAATATAACAGGTGTTCTAGGCATTCAGTTAACCCTTTACTCCCATAAGTGACCAAGACTGAATTTCTCCTTATAATATCAATACAATATCAAGCAGACAAGTGACGAGAATAAAGAAAAATGTAAATGAGGGCATGATTAGTTGATCCATTACCATATTCTCAGAACAAACATAGTGAGAATGATATGGCAGACAGTAAGGAGAATAAATAAGGGCATGTTGGGAGTGAAAGGGTTCATAAAACCAAAAGTAAATGGTGGCATTTGATAGTAGAGGAGGAGTGAAAAAACCAGGGGAGATTTGAGCATTGTGTAATTTACCAGACCCAACCCAAACTTCCATCCCTTATACACTCTTCCACTACTATTGCAATGGTACTGTTTCCTATTTTTACTTTATTTTGCTAACTGACTGCCTGGAATGCAGGCTATTATGAAAATGTGCATTTTTACATCATATTTAACATTTTTATTGCTTTGGATTCCACATTTCAGGTGTATGGTTTATCAAGCCTGAATGCTTATATCTCTGCTATGCTTATATCATGCTCGTGTCATGTTTAAAAGCAGTGTTTCAAAGTTTCCTCCTTTTTTTTTTCATTCTTTTCCTTTCATTTAATTTATAGACTGTTTATATTTTTCAGGCAAAGATGGCTTTTGAATCTTGGAATGAAAAGAAACAAAAAGTAAACATAGAAAAAAATGCCAAGAAAAAGGAAATAATGAATAAAGAACTGGAAAAGCAAAAAGAACAAAACCTTAGAGCAAGAGATGCAAAAAAATACTTTGAATCTTGGAAGGCAAAGAAAGATGAAGAACTTAAAAAGGAACATCATAAGAAGAAAGAGGAAGAAGTTAACAAGATAAAGAAAAATGAAGAAGAACAAAAAGAGAAAACTGTTGATTCACAAAAAGCATTTGACAACTGGTGAGACATTTATTTTTCTCCAAATTGTGACCAATAAAATTTTTATTTTTTTTCTTTTGGACTGGTCTCTTGTAGTTGTTAAATGTTAATGCTTAATTTTTCAATGACATGCTCAAATTCACAATTGGGTCTTTTATGTAATGTTCACACATCGATTTGGTTTACTGCTGTCAATGGAATATTACAACTGTAATTTAAATTTTTTCAATGACTTGCTCAAATTCACAATTGGGTCTTTTATGTAATGTTCACACATCGATTTGGTTTACTGCTGTCAATGGAATATTAAAACTGTAATTTAAATTTTTTTTCAGAGGTTCATTGTCATTTAACAATAGGCCATTTCCAAATTACTGCTGGCCTCATTTTCAAAATGAGTCCTGGTGCTCATCCTTTCACATGATTAAATTTTCATTCACATGCAAATTAAACTAATTTTTATACAAATGGTTGAGCACCCAGCCTTGTTTTAAAAATAGGTGAAAGGTAATTCAGAAAGGTCTACTGAATAACCTCAATAAGACCTACGGAAGGCAATATGATTTGTCCATTTATTTTTTTAATAATTGTTAAATTATTAATTAAAATAACTATAAAATTTTTTTCAAAGTAATATCAATTTTAATATTTATGTTAAAACATTATCATACCCAAGACACAAAGTATTTTGTGTTTTCTTTATTGTGAGATTTCACCATTTGATGTCATGTTAAAGATTGTGAGGTTATCCATTTTATGTCATGAGAGTGAATTTCCATTTTTTTTTTTTTTTTTCATTTTGAATTTATGTAGGAAAAAGGAAAAAGATAAAAAGCTCACTGAAGAGTACAAGAAAAAAAGGAGGGAGGTAAATAATAACAGCATGAAAGAAGAGGAAGAAAAGTATGAGAGAAGCATTCAGTGCGCTGAGCGTTATCAGGCCTGGGTGGAAAAGAAAGGGAAACCACGCAGAGGACCACCTCCACCTACACTGACACAGAGGTACTTAGATACTGAGACATTGGAGAAAATTGAATTTTGTCATCCAGTCACCATTCACAGGCTGTTGGTAAAATGCTAACAAAAGGTCACGTTCAATGAATAATACATAAACCCTTCCTCACAAGGTGTGAACTTTCATTACAACCCTTAAAATTTATAAACTTTAAGTTACACTGTGACCTAGCAGGTTATTTTTGAAGCCTTTTTTTTAATAGGAAGTCACATCAAGGAAAGAGGATTTATCAAAAGTAAAACGCATTCATATGTACAGTATTACCCTTTAATTTAATAGAAAATGTCAATGGTCATTTTTATGGCAAACAGTAACTTTGGAAGTATTAAGCACTCTAACAACAGCTAAAAAGATGGGCTCCAAGAGTGGTTTGGCTTGCCAGAGATGTCCCAAGACCATGGAGACTTTGAAGATGTTCAAAAGCTACATTTAAGGGTTATCAAGCTATCTTTGATTGCGTGTAGTATTGCAAACAATACATCAGCCAAACCATTTCAATCCCTAAGGGGGGGGAGGGGGGGGAAGTTGAGGGCCCAAAGTGGAGTGTGTCTTTAGAGAAGATGACACCATGTTATCATAGTGAGAGCTCATTTGTCATTACTTCTTTTATCTGTTGGGAACATTTGCTCCTGACCAGTTTTACCTAATTTTTTTTTTTTCCCAGGAGTTGGTGCCCAAGTGGCAGGAAGTCAGGCAACTGTATTCCTGGTAAGGTAGGAGCTGTGATTCAAGCTCCTTCTCCCAACAGATCACGAACAATGTCAGGATCTTACTACTTCAAGACAAACAAGGTATATGCATAAAAAAATAACAACTCTAAAAAATGATTACTGGTTCACTTTTCAATATCATTAGAGCAAGTGACTACAGTGTGATAACAATACCATATTTCCTGGAATAAGTGCACAAATTTCAGCCAAAGGGGTGGTTCCTTATTGGAAAGAGGGTGCTTAATCAAGGGGGTTGTCTATTAAGTTAGTGCAGCAATAGGACAAAAATTAAAAAGATAATGCACATAAAGGAACTCTGCAAGCACATGGAGATAGAAATGACTGGAAGTGTCTTTAATTGAAAAGAAACTATTCTCCTATACTGATTCTAAAAAGTGGCAATAAATCAGGTGTCCTTGTATTCCTAATATTTAAGAACGTGAGGAACATTTTCGACATTACAGCCTAGATGGTGGGTGCTTGTAAAAGCACAGGCATTTATTTGAGGAAATATGGTAACTGTAATAACAATACTTTTTCTAATACAATTTTGTGCAAAATAAATTACCATTTGTTGGTCATGCGCAGATCAATCATTGATCAACCAGATGGATGACTTTTGATAAATGATCTAGCATCTTTACATGAGCAAAATTTTACTATTTCAATCAAGTAATTGGTTAGATTGCTTTACATCAGAGGAGACCATTTCCTCTATTCCTTTGACCTTAATGTGTAATTTAGGGGTGATATTGTTAGAGGATATTAAATGTCTGTCTCTTTTGCATGTCAAAGAGTTCACAAATCTTCTTGGTGTTCATGTTTTTCATATTCTCACAAGAACAATTGCATGGGAGTACATTTGACAATATCATTTGACACCATCTAATTGTCTTTCAAGTGTACTAAAAAATTTGTCAATGTGTATCTTTCCCTGTCTAGTTTTGATGCTGGGGAAAATGCAGTTTCTTGGACTTCACTACCATGATGATATTTGGAATTTCAAATCCAACAGAAAATTAGGGTTTCTTATTTAAATTCAATTAATTTTGACTGATATATGTATTTATTAACTAAAAGGTTTTCTAGATGTTTCACTCCAACTTAATCATTCCATTGTTTCATGATAAACTTAGGAGGAAAGTCTAGTTTACCTCCTCACACAAATCAAAGACGCAATAATCTCAAATTACTTATAAAAATTTTTATTAGTTTAGCCATTGGATTCTTAAGATCATGAAAATAATTAGTAAAGAATGTCAAGTAACAAGTGAGGGTATTATTTCTGTCTGAGTAAAAGCTCCTGGGGAATTAACAGAAAAATGACTGCAGAAATTTCCAAGTAGATCGTATGAATACTAAATGCTTGTTTTACCTTACACTTAACACCTCTCAGTAACAAATATTTAATTCAATGTAAACTTGCAATACAAATTCTGAAGGAGTTTTACCTATTTTAAATGAGACATTTCAATTCTTGAGTAGGACTTCTGCCCAATTTTTTCAGAGTTAATTGTTAGTGTTAGTTAGACCAGTAAGATCTTCATTGAATTGAGAACTGTCTAACAATAAAAACATAGTATTCACACAAAAGCCTAGGGTGTTACTGTAAATGACAAATTTAGTTACGTAAAGAAATGAAGCCTCAAATGACATCTGTATGTTCTGTATGATACTGAATATTCTTCAAAAACACTGAAGTCATAACACAAGTTGAAAGTAACAAGAGAAGTACCCCTGCACTGAATCTAGTTGAAATCCTCAACAATGGAGCCACATGACAGAGAGAAGCACATAATCTGACTTAGCTGTACATACTGAAGAGCCAAAAGCTTGGGTGTACATGTTAACTAAGTTGGTGAAAAATGTGGTATCCTTACTACTAGTGCACTGAACTCTGGTTTTTAAGGGCCACATTCCATATCTGGCCAGATTGATGTGTTGTGTCCTTGGGCAAAACACTTCACTCTCACAGTGCCTCTCCCAAGGAGGATAAATGGGTACAAGTGAACTGTCAGGGTAGCCCGAGGAAGCCTGGGGAGGCCTGAGGAAGTGCTGGGAAAGAGGGGTGTGGTAACTTGCCATGGACTGCCACCCCATCCAAGGGGATTTGCAATACTCCAAGCCACTTTGTCTATGAAAATCAGGACAAGTTCCAATAGATAAGAGCAGACTTAACTTCTAGTCATAGACAGGATTCGCAACTCATGAGCCATTTTAACCTAATTGCGTGTTGTTTTCTTCCAGAGGATTATTCCTTGCCTGCAATCACAATGTATACTTTTTTATTGATTCAGTACTAATATCTCCAGGTGTATATTCACAGAATTAAATTATACATACTTGTATAATATATTTACAAAATGTTGATGATACATCTCTTCAAAACGGTGGTATTCATACTAGGATCAACATTGCCAGATACAGATCAGAAAACAACAAACAACTTGGACTGTAAAATAGGTTTGATTGTATAAATTTACATCGATCCACCAAAATAAAAATTTATCCTTCTGTTTTCACTTGCCAAGAACCAATTCTTGGTCACACCTACAAATGAAGAATATTTTTTTCTTCTCAAAAGAATTGACTGCTTTTCCTCATTAAGTGCTAAGGTCCATTTCCTGTACTCCAGTCAGAGCTTCTTCCTCCTCATTCTCTGGCAACTCTTCCAAATTCTTGTCCTCATTTTCCCTCAACAGCTCTACTTGATAATCTGAGGTAGAGTGCTCAAAGTAGCTGGCTATGTGATGCTGTCAGAAGCAACAGTACACAAAGTCATCTAGGTTTATATGTGTCATGAGCAAGACAGTCTTACAGTACCTAAACAGGGCTGTAATCAGTCACAGTGCCTCAACCTGTTACACCCTAACATGAGTATGCATATTCTTCATACTGTTTTCTATACATTTCCTAAGATGCTGACAAGGAGAATTTTTTTCACAATCAAGAGCTTCTTTAGTTTGTGATCATTTCCTTTATTCTTGTGAATTTAATGTTGGACCCAGGGGGAATGATGCAAAGCGAAATTAGATGCAAGCCACTCAAAGGGGTTAAAGGATTGAGTAGAACTGAGTTATTAACCCTCTAACTCCCATGAGTGACCAAGACAGAATTTCTCCTTACAATATCAATACAATATCAACCAGACAAGTGATGAGAATAAAGAAAAATATCAATTTAAGGATAATTAGTTGATCCAATACTAAATTCTCTGAACTAACATTATAAGAATTGTTTGGTCAACAGTAAGGAGCATAACAAATTTGATCTGGGAGTTAAAGGGTTAAAGATTCTGCAAGTACATCTCTGAGCTCTAAGTTAATTAAAAAGTATAGCACTAAAACAATCAAATGTCAAAAAAAAGAAAGGTTTTCAGACTTTTTTCCTCCACAACAATGTAATTGTAAGTGACACCTTCATCCATCAAGAAAGGTTACCAGAAACAAGAATTCCAGGAAAGTCTTAGATCAAGTCCTCTGTGACCCTTCTCAAATGGGTGAGTTGGCTAGAAAGTCTGCTTGTCTGACAGAGAAATTTTCATGCCCTAGATAACTACACTGTAGAAAGGGTTTCTCTAACTCTGTGTTATTCTTGATATGCTGCACATCTGTTGGCAGACTGAGAGTCCATTTTTGCCGATTAACAGTCAAGCAGCAAATGTTGAAGTGAGGAGAAAATGCTTTAAATAGTGTGTAATAAATTACATCAAATCTACCTCTTTGGGTGGCCTGATACACTGAACCATGTTTGCCAGCCTAAAAATTGTCCTTACTAAAAGGTCTTTCACCTGAAAAAATATATAAATAAAGTGAGCAAAGCTCCACTCAAGACATTCCAAGTCTACACCGAAGAGGGTGACCCTTAGTGGCACAAAGACCATCACATTTAATGAAGAAAAAAAAATCTGTATCCAAATTAGATAACTCAGTTAGTAAGTCCTTATCCTAGCTTCTGTACCATGAAGCGCCTGGGGGTATTTTTATCTACCTGGGTTGGGTGCTCATCCATCATGGCTTACCCCTCACTATTTTTTTCAGACCTCCCTCTACACCCTAACATCAGTTTGCATATTCTCCATACTGTTTTCTAGACCTTTTTTAAGATGCTGACAAGGAGAATTTGTTTAACAATCAAGAGCTGCTCTAATTGGTCATCATTTCCTCTATTCTTGGGACCTTACTCATTGATTCAGGAGGTAAATTAAAAGGGTTCCTGGCTGGAGAGAGGCGATGTAAGGGCAAAGAGCCTAGCCCTAAAATTAACTAAAAACATCAATTATACACTGTACCTTGGTTCTATTCATAAATGCAGCCCTTGGATCTTTGATATCCCCATTCACTGTTCTCAGCTTGTTGGTCAACTTTTCTAGAAATGGCTTAATATAGAACACAACAAGGTACTTATTATTGCCACTGATAAGTACAAACAAAATCATGTCTCAAATCTCTCACATTTACATTATAGGTACTTAATATGGTACCACAGTACCAACTGGTGAAAATGTGAATTTGTAAAGGAAGTCTACCAAATAGTCTGATATGTAACTTGGCAAGATTCATACAGAACTTCAGTGAGTGAAAACTTTTAATTTTAAATATCCTGAACTTTCATGAACTACAATAAAAAATATAGGTTGGTTAACAAGTTTGTTCAAGAGGAAAAGATCAATGCACCTGTTTACTTTGTCCATTGATTCAAGAGGAGAAAAGAAAAAACAATTCCTCATGTTCTCTAAATGCACAGTGCAATAACATGCAGTACAGGATGCACAGTGCAATAACAAGGAATCATTTTCAGTGTTCTCCCTTATTTTAAGCATAACAGGTAAAATAAATTTTCAAACCAGTAAAGCAATCCTTTTACGTGTTGAATTTTCAAGAATTCCAAGCAATTTTAAACAGTAATAAGAGGTACTACAGGCAGTAAATGTTAACGGTTACCGCCTGGAAAGGAGAACACTGATTTTAAGGTAGCTTTAACCCTTTAACTCCCAGAACCCACACCTCTGAATCCTAGATATAATTGTGTACAATATTTTGAAAAAGTAAAACTATTAAACTCCCTTTCGTCATATGTTAACCACTTTGAAACTTGCCATGGTAACTAAACTCCATATCATTTTCATCTGCTTCAATTCACTGGAGAGGTACTTCAAAAGGCTACGATAGCTTCAGTGTTATAGACCACAATTACATCATCATATTATCATGCTTCCTCGTCTTTAATCTGTAGAACAAATGAATCGTGATTTACCCTTTCTTTAGAGGGCAGGTCCTCACTTCCAACAGCAAAGCTGATCAAAGAAATTATGGTGTGCAGCAGGAAATAATCTGACTCATCTGTAGGTTTAATCTGTGCCACAAGATTAACCAAACTAGCTACCTGTAAAAAAAAAATTGTCAGAGAAAAAAATGCTTGGCAACATGACAGACAGCATTTCGGAAAAATGTGTATCATTTTCCAGTAGGGGTGAAATCCAAAATTTCAAGACCTTGATTCCCCTTTCATGTATGGCCTGATCTGCAAGTACAAGTTTTTGGGTTTTTGACTTAACTGTAAATGAATGTGGACATTGCAAAGGGACCATATTTTATTTTTCTTTCTACAGAATATCAAGCCCATTTTTTGTTCAACAAAAAAGCTCCTCTCCTGCATGTTGCAAAATTACAGCAAACTATTGCACACTGACTATGAATAGTATGGAATGGTTGCATTAAGAAAAAAACCTACAAAGCTTAAACATAAACCTGTTCTGACATTTACATAAATCCTTCTTAATACAGTCATTTCACAGTGTTTTTTGGTTACTTTTTTTGGAAGTTGCTACACTAAAATAATTCTCATTACTCTGCCAATCTATTTTAACCCTTTAACTCCCAGACATGATTAATATGTAACCTCTCCCTAAAATATCCACATCTAATCCAGCAAACAGGCAATTAGAATACTCAAATTTATCACTTAGAAGTTATCTTGATCTAACACCCAATTCCTGTAAATAAATTAAAAGGAAAGGTGTAACAGCTAGCTGGGACAATCAACAATAAGGTCTTGGGTGTTTAAAGAGTTAAAACTTTGTAATTTTTCATCAAACCATCTCACCTTTACATTTTCTGGAACAATTACATTGCATCTGTCCCCACCAAGGTTTTCTCCAGTTTCCTCCTGATTTAGAAACTTGGGCACTAACCAGTGAAGCAGTGTCAAACTAAGACGGCGCTGAAGCTGAATCCCATAAGTGGATGGAGGCTGAATTTCGACAAGATACAACAGATTCCGATGGTCTGTGCTCAGTTTTGTCAAAATACCACACAACTCTTTAATCTGAAATGTACAAACAGGTCACACACCCAGTCAACCCTACTCTGCTAACAGAGTTCCCTTCTAAAGAGAATAAGAAAGATGGTAAGTTTGGAGCTCTTTAAAGAAGTAGAGAAAGATTTTCTTTTTCATCTTTTCATGAGCATGGGACGAAGAAAAACTTCTGTTCCCCATGAGGAATCAAACTTCAAACCTTCGGATTCCACGCTCCACACTGAGCTAAAGCTAAATAGTTCTTTGGTTAGCCTCCAATCACAGAAAAAGTGTTAAGACAATAAAACAAACCTTTCAGTCATTTTCAAATCTTGTAGTTATTTTGGCCCTACATTAATTTATGGTACCATTTTGTCTTCCTCTCACTCCTAAAGAGTACTTTTTCATATGTGTCTCTGGGCAAAAAGGGCAAAGACAATGATTGAGAAAAGAGAGAAGATTTGTTTTTTAAATTAGGTCTTTATCTAAGCACTAGGCATTTTTTACTTAGATCTTGTCCTGATTGTAGGTTTTAGCTCAGCTTATTTGAAGTCAGCAAGCCTCCCTAACAGAGCTTGGCTAGACACCTCACATGCCTAACACCTTTAAATCACTGATAGCCTAACAGAGACATTAGAAACAGTACCTCATCAGGCCACTGCATCTCTCCAAAACAACTTAGCACTGCTGCAATACACATCTCAATATCAAACACTATAGTGTGAAGCCTTGTATCTAGTGCCAACCGACACATCAGCACCATGAGGTTTCTTAAATCCTGAACAGTGTATGACTGAGGACACTTTTGAAGACTGTGAGTAAGCAGCTGAACAAGGTGCATCACATTGATGAGAGGAAAACTTTCAGTCTGCATCACACCTCCAACTGTTTCTTCTTCCATATGGATTGCATCCGTGGAGTTCTCACTCAACAAAACTTCTCTTATACTTAATTGATTAACAAGAACTCCAGGATAAAGTCTTGGAATCCTAGCACCATAGGAAAAAAGCTCCTTCAAGACTGTCTTGATACCAGGAACCCACAGGGTACCTCTGGAGTTTGGTGGGATGTCATCTCTATCCTGCAATAAAGAATATATACTGTTTGCTCCATGTGACAAGATTACAACAAAGCACTGTTACTATAAACAACTCTGAATAGAAAAAAACAGATTACAGTTACATTAAACACCAACCAAAAGCCTACAAGTCAATTCCCCAAACTAATTGAAATTTTGCTCATGCTAGTGTCTGAGACATCATACCATCCAGAACATACCCAAGCTGTTTTTTTGGGGTGTTTTACAATGACATCTGCCATAATATATACACCACTACCAGCTTAAATCTGATGTAGGCACTCTTACAATAAAAATTCAATCTTCAACTTAAGTTCTCAATTTCGATGCTAACTTTTGCCAAAAGTGCCAAAAGTAGTGATTAAGCCTCCTCTAAGAACAAGATCACTTTTTCCAACTATGTTTTATTTTAACTGTCTACCATTACCAGATCATGTTCTGCTTTAGTTGCTTTGGGAGAGCAAGATCAAATGAGAAAGTGAGGTCATTTTCTAATAAGTTAAATTCCACAAAAGTATGAACCCAAGTAATGCTGTATGCAACACAAGATTTTTGTGCTTTGGAGGTTAGTGCCATTCAGCCTACAATGCTAGCTCTGCATAGTGCATTTAGTCCACAAAAACTTCCATATTGGATGAGAATGAGAACATTTTTCATTATGACAGCCCTTCAAAGCACTATGCTAGATGTACATCTACCTCTGTGGCTGCTTCAAGCATGATCCAAAGGACTTGAAAAGATGTGATAATGACATGCTGATCTCTGTGACGACACATGATTTGAAATAGCCATTCTGCCACCTCAGATGGGCAAGGTTTATCCAGGTAATGCTGCAGTACCCACCCTCCACACAACAACTCCTGTAGCTCAATGTCTGAGGCTAAAACCAACTTTGCCTCAAAAGAGTTGCCATGCGGATGAGGAACCATTGATAGACGGGGAAAATCTTGAGACTGAAAAAAAAAAACATAGCAATCAAGAGTAACGCTCTCTCAACACTTTTCAAATAAGTAACACATTATCTAAGAGAAGGCCAGTCAGCGAATCCAACCTAACCCTGTGAGGACCAATAGACACTTGAGGAACTTACTGTAACATTAGGATGAAACACTGGGAAAATATCCTCTCCAGGCAGTTCTTCAGAAAAATCATGCACCTCCACAAGAAACTTTTTGAAGTCCTGAGGTAAGGAGCAGTCTCTCAGGTCACGTCCATCTGCATTCAAAGGTAAAAGCATGAATGTAAGTACTATTCAAACCCTTAGGTGGACTGTACTGGAAAGAAATACAATAAATCCATCATATGAGAGGTTACAGTATACATGTAAATGTGAAAAAAAACCTGTTTGTTTTGACAATAGTACATGTAGATTATATAGTGTGATTGTCCAGTTGAAGGTACATGCAGTCTTAAAATAGCCTGTTGGTGACAGCAACTGACCTCTGACCTCTTGAGTAGAGTCAAGTTGGTCATGAGAGTAGCCAGAATCACTTGTCTCTTCTCAAATTGTCAAAGAAATCTTCTATCAACAATGATCCTTAACAGGACTTCCCTCAGCCAAAAATGATCTATTGTATCCAATTTACAAAGGGAAAAGTTGTATCCTGTCTAATGATGACCAGAAAAAAAAACTAGTTTAAAACTCTCAATTGGAAAAGTATCCAGGGTAAGTGAACAAAATCTAACTTGTTGAGACAATGGGAGATAAGTAAGGCACTATTAATAGTTACCCAAACAACACTTTACTTGTTGTCTTGTTAAAATCTTTTCAGAAATGTTCTCAACCAAGATCAAAACTGTGGTAAGGCAATGACAAGAGAATTTGGCTAAATTAAATACATTGTATTCCCTATTTCATGATGAATTTAGCAGGGTACACATCAGTGTCTCTCTCCCAGTGATCAACCAAAAGTAAACTTACCATCAGTTAGGTCTTCCTCTGATTCTATATCACTGAAAGTACTTGGAACTGGCAGTTGACCAATACCTCCATTATCAATCCCTTGTTGTAGCTCTTCCTCCATCTTAGCAAGCTCAGCATTCTTTTCTCTATGCTTAACTTTGTCAGCAATCAACTTTTCAAAGGAGAGTTTGTACTTGATGGTCTTCTCCTCTCCCTCTCCTCTAGAAATTGGGGAGGGAGTAGAATAAACTGGAGCAACCCCTTTTTCTGGAGTGCAAATATCTGGTTTCAACTTTGTCTTTTCATAGAGAAATCTTGGCGGTGTTAAAAGATCCTCATCAGAGGAATCTGAGCCTTCAGGTAAAGTCCCTTCATCCTCTTCAAAAAGCTTCTTGCCACTAATGATTTGGTCCATGCCTTTATCAAATTCCTCCTCTTTAAGTTCATCAGAGCTGCTATTTTGGTCTGTTCCCTTGAAAGGAACCAAACCAGAATCAACAGGAGAACCACAATCAACTATAGTCTCCTCAACATGTGCATCAGAAGTTTTTGTATAGTTCCTGTCAACATCATTACCAATACACCCTTGCAATCTCTCTGGAAAATTATCAGGGCTATTGTCTCTGCATTTTTTCACACCCTTTTTCTTTGATTTTAATGATCCATCAGGTGATTTGCTCACAATTTCTTTTTCATTCAACTCATCATTACCTTGTTTTTTTTCCTTGAAAACTTTACAACTCTTTTCTTTGTTCTCCAAATCTCCAACAGTTGACTCTTTGTGGATTTGATTGTGCAAATCTTTCTCAAAAAACGAGCTTTCATTCACATCAGTATCAAGTTTTTCTTCTTTTCCATTATCAACATCACTACCGTCTGTAGAGTTGTAGTTTGTGGAATCCGTCACACTTCTACCACATGAATCGTCCAAAGATTCAGTATCATCACAGGTTGAATAAAAAGTCTCATCACCAACACTATCAGACACAGTTATTCCCGTAGCTGAAGTAGAGTCAGTAAATAAAGCTGAAGCCTGTGTTTTTCCTTCATGTTTGCTTCCATGGACTGAACAGTTATGTCCATCAATACCTAATGGTGAACTGACAGCAGGTTTAACTAGTGAATTGCAACTGCTACCCTTATCATTTTCCTTACTGTCTGCATTTGGAATCATGCTTTTGTCTTTAGAACCAAAACTGTTTTTGTCATTTGGCAATCCCTTGAAATGTGGTTCCTTGAGCTCTTTGTTGTCTGGTAACTTGTCCTTACTCATAGGGTTGCAACTTTTCCTTGGGCCTGACGACGAAAAAAAAAAAAATTTTAATACCAACTGCGAGAGAGAGTAGATATTACTGGAGAAGTACGTTCCAGAAACTGTGCACTTTGTACCTCCTTCATAAATGAGTACATATAAAATTATGTCAAGCACTGTGTTTTGAGATTGATCTGACCTTTCAGAAATGTCTGTTAATTAATGTGCTGTTCATTCTACTTTGTATGATAAACTGAATTATAGATACATTTTGATTGGTTCTTAGCTATGATCTATTGGAGGACTGACACATAGACGAAATCACCATTAGCATTTTTTGTCTCAATTTGTTATGCAACAAATAGATTTCATGCTGCAGTGGGTCTCTTATCGTGCCAAAATGAGATAAGAACATCAAGGACAAAATCAGCTGTGCCTCATGTGCCACATTCTTTTTTGGCATCATCTGTAATCTATTACTGATGCAAGGCAACTTAAAAACCTTTTTTCAAATAGAGTACATTTAAAATAGGCTATTTCCAAATTACCTTTTACCTCTTTTTCAATTAATTTGCTTATGAATGAAAACTTATAATTATATGAAAAGATGAGCACCAGGACTCGCTTTGAAAATGAGACCAAAGTTACAGTGTACAATGTAATTTGGAAGTGGCCTATTATGACAAGTACTTCATTTTGAGATTGACCAAACCTTTAAAAAAGTGTCAGTTAATGTGCTGTTAAATTGACTACAGACACTGCCATTATGAATCTTGCTTAGCAGCCTGTTCAGTTGGCTGTAATATGAGAAAGTCTTGCTCCAATAGTTCTAGCCTTGGGCTATCTATCTATCTGAAACAATTACGAGCTACATCCTGATAAAAGCTTCTTTTTGGTGAGAACAACAGCAAATGTGGTTTGGGGACCACACACTATGATTTTATGTTTATAACTAGATTAAAAAGTTGTTTTCAAACTAGCACCATCCACAGGTTTTGAACCATTGGATTTCTCTAACTAACCTGAAATTTTAGTGATCAAAGACTGAACTAAATAGCAATGTAGGTAAAAGTCAAGGTTTCTAAAGGGTCAAAAGTGAAAACTATTATCACTGCAGACAACTTCAGTTTCACATTTCTCTAAATTGTTTTCTAACAAATACTTGTATAATAATATTGCCACACTTACTTATGACTAATTAAGTGTTTCTAAATATCAACCTACCCTTAGATGTCAAACCCTTGAAAAATTTTGTAATGTCTTGATTTCTATGGGATAAAATATGTCACTCAAGAGTTAACGTTGACAACAAGTTCTATCAACAGGTCTAATTTTGGCTAACAAGAGTGAAGAATACAAATATAGAAGTCTGAAAACGCTACTTGTGAGGCCTTTATAATCTACAGGAGTTTTACATCTACGTTTAAGTCGGATACAGTGTGTGGAGATGTTAAGTTTTAATGTTACGTTAATTGTCTTAATTATATTCAAAGTATGCCATAGAACTTGAGCTTACAATACTTAGCCTAGAGCATACTTATGAAAGGTTCATAGATCCAATAAATCAAAGATAAATCTTACCCCTTTCCTTTTGCCGAAGACGGCAGCTTTCTTTTCATTTTTCACAACGGTCCAGTAAATGAGAGGAAAGTTGTCTCATCGTTCACACATCGCCGCCATCTTGATGATCGACGCGCCAAATTTCATATGCGCAGCGCCTGTGTATTCTAACGACAACGCTGACAATAATGTATGGTGGCGCTATAGAAAAAATAGGTACGCATCGGCGTACATAGTATTTCTGCATCATTTTGTTTACTTAGGGGAAACAGGAGGCCCGGCCTCTGCGCGAAGGCTAAAATTTTAATTGAGGATAAAGTGATAATTTTGATAAAAAAAATTTACAAGCTTTGATCATTGATTTATTTTTTATGAATTGAACATCCGTGTGACCACTTTTGGTAAAAAAAAAATTCCGTGTTGAGGTGCGTCAACAACTCAAATTCGTGTGCATCTCTGATCAGGACACTAATTATGACCCTTTAACCTATTTTTTCATATTTTTTTTTTTTGGCATCCTTCACCTTATTTAGCCACAAACAACTGATGAAGGATGTATTTTGAGGAATAATGCCTCTGTGAAAAAGCAGGAACAAGGAAAACAGGGAAGACTTTTTGTTCCAGAATGCGGTCAGCAAAGAAAATGACCAAGGCCGTAGCAGTTGCAATTCACTAGGAACAAAGATAATCCTCAAACTAAAAAGTTCCAGAAACTTTTATCATTATCATCATTTTAATTATTACTAGTATTAATATTTTTGTTAAGTTCAAAAGTAAGTCGCTCTACAAATAAGTGTCTTGAACCGCCAGTTCTTCATCAGTGGCCACAACTTCATTCCGCTCAGATAGTTTCAGTTTTTGTTCGATGCTTCACAAAAGACATAATCTTCATAAACCCTCGGCGATACTTAGGGATTCTCCAAGCGTAAACAAATGGATCGATTGCAGAATTTACAAATAAGAACCTGGTGGCTATAAAATCGACTTGACGAAATATTGATCTTAGTTCAAAATTAGAGCCGCGGTACAAATGCATCAAGTGCAATGTAATGTACGCCGGAAGTAAAGTTAAATAAAATAATGCTAAGATTATGAAAACTGTTTTCGCCATTTTTCGCTCTCGTTCCATTTCTCGCCTTTTTCGAATGGACGAATTTCTTTGATTTTGCATATCTAGTCGATGACGCTTAAGGGCTTGGATCATTTTGATACAGACCGCCGTCAGCACAAATATGGGAATTGTGGCATGGGTGTGCAGATAAATATTGACGTAAACTTTTTGGCCAATACCTGTAAATTGTAAACAACACAATAAAGCTGAAGAAATCCAAACCAGTATGACAGAGATCTTAATTCGTTTCCTTGTCACTCTCAATCGATATCTCATCGGGTCGGACACGGCAATGTATCGATCCACCGACAATGCAATTGTAGATGAACCGTTAACAAACATCGTCAGCCCTATAAACACTCCTATGATTTCCGTGATTTCTTTTTGACCAGTGCCATAATAACGGTATGCATCTCTAACAGCGACGGGAAAACCAACCAGCAACCCAACAAGCAAATCCGAAAAGCCGAGGTTCGCAATCAAAAGTGTAGAAGGAGTGCGAGACAGATGTCCGTAATTAAGGTAAATAGTCAATAGAAGCAGAAAGTTGCCTACAACAGTCACGGAGGCAACCATTGACATGATCACAGTTGAACTGAGGCAAACTTCTAGGCTGAAAGTAAGCTTTGAGCCACAGATTGGCTCTCTTGAGAATGATGAAATAATTTTTGCCAGCCCACTTTTTGTAGCGTTTGTGGAGTTCATCTCTTACGGAGTACAACCAGATCTTTGTCTTTATCAAATTCACGATAAAATGTCCGGGCCAATTTAAGGAGCCTTTGTCTTCAACAGAAGGTTCTGATATGAAAAAAAGTAGACTTTGATTCGCTGATTAAATAAGCTAACATCCGGGAAGGTGGTCACGTGATTTGTTAAGACGTGACCTATTTCAGCTCCCTCAGGCCAGAAAACAATGTTAAACGTGCTTGAAATGTTGAATATAACCGTTAGAAACCTGACTTGTGTCACTTCTTTACAGATAAAAATAGGCTCTCTTCCTTCTTCTAGAGGTCAAACGTGAGAATTCTGTATATCTTTTAATTACGTGTCGGCCCGCGGTTTTTTTTATTAGTACAGGACAATTTTATAATTATGAACTGAATTGGTAACGTAAACGTTTCGCTCCGGCAAAGGGCCAACGCTCGAAACGTCAGCTTTCAAACTTTTTACGGTGGCTAATTGGTTGTAAACTCAGATGATATAGCTAAATTACCATGATATACTCTCCCACCGACGCAGCACCACAGTTACTTATGAAACTTACCCCCTTTTTTCATCACCCTGCTTTTTCAGATGCCTAAAATAACAATGGCTTCCTTTCTTTACGGGAAAAAATGCTACCTAGGTAACAGGAAATTAGATCACTTATTTTGCTTGTGCAATAAGAAAGATGGAAGCAATCAAGTTTTTGACGATACGTCTGTAGTTAACGCGCTCTGAACAAACAAACAATCAACTTGTTCTTTCACTTTAAATAAACCCTATTCAATCAAAAAACAAAACATTTTCCCTATCAACAAATGAGAGCTTTTGTCGTTTCGAGGTAAATCGGGTTTGATCCCATACTATTTGATTACTCTGGGAGGTAATAACGCCGCGGATAAATTGCACTTAATATCACAGGACGAAATTGCAAGAATCCGTAATTTGATTACTCTTCTCGCGGGAGGTAACGGAACGCCGCGGATAAATTGCCACGTTTCAGAAATATTCTTCTGTGTATTCTTTTTGCCGCAACGTCTCGTTATCAATGCCGAGCGAATACATCGGAAACTGCCTATATTTCTACACGAGTTGTATTTTTAATGGACTTCAGCTAGCATACGTGATCATAATCTATCGCTAATTTTCTTTTCTATGTTTTATATCATTGACTTGAGGTGATCTTTTTCCCCTGAAAACTGAGCTGTATACAGGTTTTTTTTTTTAATCAATCCAATGCAATTTGCCCCTTGGCTTTCGGAAAATGGTATTCTCATTTTATTTTTCTATTTGCAATTGGCTAATAATTAAAACACATTTCCTCCGAATCAGTTATTCCCTTCTATTTTTAATTTTATAAGCCCCAAAATTTCTTCTTCCCCTTAGCAAGATGTACCCAAATTGACGGCATTTTTTAAAGTGTTGCAAAAGGTTATAAACGATTCAGACGGCAAATTGGCGCCAAAATAGCATCTTAACTTTTCCATAGGGTTAAATTAATTGATGATAAAAACGTGAAAATGCCCTCTATTTTTTTAAAATAGACAGCAATAGTGTAATTTTTTCCTTCGATTTTTTCCAATTTCGTAACTACATTCTGTTACTGGACCGCTAACGACCGATTTACATGGTACGACTTTGGCGCGAGCGACAAGCCTGTGTCAGGCTCACGACACGACATAAGAACACTGAGAAAAATAAAACATAAAAAACTAATGTCTTGAACACTGTGCTGAGATCTGCTCACGTAATTTTATATGACTTCCATTTTACAAGGACGATGCCAAAAAATGAAAAATTGTTCAACGATAGGGTTTGTGTTCCTGTTTTACGAAGGTATCGTTGTAAGGGTTATTTTTAGTCAGATATCAAACTGAGTTCTAAGATTGTAACAACCATTCAGTGTTTCATGATCCTATATGGAAAAACCGACAAACTCCTTTCAATTTTTTTTGCAATTTAGTTAGTTTGGTTACATGAAAAAGAATGTCAGGTTTAATTAAATTGTCCATTAAAATCATGATGACGTCTAAGTTTTTAAGCTATGTAATGGGAAGACATCTTTTTTAAAGTGGTTTTAAGTAATGTTTACTTAGACATGGCAGACTGTTCATTAAATTGCGTCACCAACACAAGTACCAGTACAGGCGGCATTTTCGACAAATGATGACCCTTATGCAAATCTTCAATCTTGTTTCATCGAGTAGCACTCATTTCCACGTCGTAGATATTTAATTTGAAATTCGTTTGGTCACTGCTTTAGGGTTTTTGCGATCAGTAAATCGCTCACGCCGGCGTGAACATGGAGCAAGATTATACAATTTCAGCTGATAAATTTTACTCAATCAAAAGAAAAACTATCCATAACCTCTGTGAGTCTATGCAAGTGTATTTTTTTACTCTCTCTCAATGCCTGTTCTAGAATGAGGGTTTCGATGGGACGATGGCTTTTACGGCGAACGGTTAAAATCTGAAATTGGTCATTTTATACAGCTAACAGTTAATATCATTGCATTGTTGTTACCAAAAATATTTTATACGGTTAACTATCTTTGCGACAAACGGTTTAAAATGTTTTCAAAGTTTGATTAACGGTTAAGTTTTTTTGGCCGTTTTACGGCTAGCGGTTAACCCCATAACATTGAGAACCTCTAGAATGCTATTCCAAATCGTCGGTATAAAATGCCACGCAGAAAAGAAGTCAAATTAACTTTTTCTTGACTGTGGTGACTAATGGTTTGAAAACACGACTAAAGCAAAATAATTATTTTACAAGGTAATTTTACTTTCTCAACTGAGTTGGTAATGTAAATTGGCCACGGTAAAGAGTTTCTAAAGCTGACGTATCGTTTCGTTTTGTTTAGCCCTTCGCAAATGTTAGCTTTAGAAAACATTTTCGATGGCTAGTTTACATTTTCAATTTTCGGTTGATAAAACCAAATCATCTTGCATTATCACCGACGCAGCACCACACACAGCACTACAGTTTTTTTAGGTTCTACGCTACGCACCTTAAAAGGCTCAACTCTTTGTGTAATATTTTTCGCAGGAATCTTCAGGGATTCCATCAGGATCAACGATAAAAAGACGAACACTATCCAGGTCGTAGGTTATACGTTATTGATCATGCTGGTTATTTTGCCAAGCAATCATCAAGCAATCAAGCATCATAGGAAGTTATTTTCACCTGGACTTAATTAACTCTTCAAACCCTAGGAGTGACCAGAATCTAATTTCTCCCTTCAGCAATACTGCTAAATCATTCATCAAGATAATGAGAACAAAGGAAATGATCGCCAACCTAAGAAACTCTGATTGTTAGACAAATTCTCCTTATCAAAAC